CTGAGAACTGGATCGCCCAGTTTCTACAAGAGAAAATGAGACCATTTACCCAAAGTTCGAAACTCTCAGTTCCTGGTTTCTACAAAATAGAAAGGTTTACTATACCTGCATGCAACTAAAATTTACATGGAGAAGCTCATTGGTGAAGCTAGGGGAAACATCGAGTTGTTGCTTTGCAGACATTGCTCTTTGAAACAGCCATGATGCGCTCAAGTTTGGCTGTCATTCAAAAGACAAATAGAGTTCAGTGAAATTAATAGCAGGGAGAAAAGTAAATAACTGAGAACCACAAAGCTTTATTATTACCATATAAGGATTTAGCTTTGATAAGCTGTCAGAGTCCAGAAGATCTCCATCTATTGCTTCATAGATTCCTTTTTAAAAGTTGAAGAATAAGATTGTCAGAATATCTGAAGATTTTAGGACTATAGTCTGAAAGATTTCATGATATAGTTGTATAATGTACTGTCAGAGAGTGAGTGTATATACCATTGGACAATCTTCCAAGGTGTCTGGTCAAACTTCCAAAACCTCCAAATGACACAGGTGACTGAATGCCGCTAGCATCACCAAACTGAGTAAATATTTTATAAGAAACTTTGATTATTTAGCTATCGAATTATCAAGCCGCAAACTTTTCTTGTAAGCTTTTATATAAATGAACAAAACCCACCTGTAGAACACGATCAAATGCCGCTGGCAATGGACTGGTGATAGTTCCAATCCAACAGGGTTAGATATGTCAGAATGCAGCAGTATTATTGTACGAAACTGGTAAACAGAATTATAATATCAATGATAGAATTTCAAACTTCCAGAGATGATAGATAGAGAGATACATGGCATCGACGAAGTTTCATATCAAGGTTATACCTATTTCGGTATGTAGGGAAGATCCCGTATACAACTCTCAGTATTTCCAATTCATCAAGAGAGACTCCCTGCGCCAATAGACATCAGGAGATAAGAGAAAAGAAAGAAAGAAACTTTATGAAATATGTGACATAATATGGAAACTAACTTGGTATTTTGGCATCAGTTTCCAGTATTCTTCGAGTAAATCCTCTAAACTCGGAGATGTTGATTGTGGTTCAGTATAAGTGAACATGTAAGTAGTGCGGTCTAATGGACCAGAGCCAGCTGGGAAGGCCTTCAAGCAACAATAAGCAGCCTTAAAAACCACTTCTTTGTCGTTATAATACAGTGTTAGGATAGGGAAAACACCAGATTTTTTTACCTCCCAAAAGAGTTGTACATTGGAATCTGCAACTTTGGTCACTGATGAACTACTATATATAACGTCACTTGATGAATTCTCCTTAAACCCATGAGCACAAGATCCAACAACAAGACACATTCCATCTGGCTTTCTACCACGTTTAATCTTTTGTAGCAGAATCCAATACAAAAAATTATTATAATCAGTGATTTGCGGAAGAAATTCAGTACTCTAGAAGTATTTGGAGATGTGGATGAGAAAAATGTCACTGGACAACACACAAGAATCGGAAATTTTTAATATTTTTAGTACTATAACTAATGAAAATGTAAAATTAGATATGCTATTAGTCCAATATATGACCTGCTTCAGGATAGGAGAGAAATTTCCCATTGCATCGATGACTAGACGGGAAGATAATATGTCACCTTTAGAAAGTTGCATAACCTATCAATCAAAAATTTCAAACAATTCATATCAGTAAGTTGAATCCTCTTTTTAGTAACGATATTCTTTGGAGGAAGCGACAAGCAACTCACGGCTAAATCATCGTAGATGACAATGCTTGAGAGACTGCAGTCTTCTAAAATGACCCCACCAAGAGAAGTGAAACGTCGCTTCACAGTTTCCACAAGTTTAGCTGGGCTGGTTAGATATACAAAAAGGAAAACTAAATCATCACTTCAGAGGTATCAGAACACAAGGGGAATTTTCTCGTTTTATATATTAAAGAATAAGAGGAGACAGAACTCACGAAACTCCAAGGTTAAGAATATCTTGAACCCATATATCACCAAGATTCTCAAATCCACATCTGTTCTGCATTTGTTCAATATAACCTTAAGCATCATGGATATTAGTAGAAAGATCAAGGCATTGCTTACTGGGAAGAAGCTTTACCGGATTGAATTTCGCAGCAATTACTTCTTCGATCTCATCTTCTGTTAAAACTCCAACTTGAGTCAACTCCTTCATCTCTTTTCTTGAGATATTCCATTCTTGATCTCTCTATAGCCCCACAAACCAAAAAACCATTAGCAAAAACTCCAACCATAACATCTTAACCACAACATAGCGAGAATACTCACCCCCTTGATTGCATTTCTCTCCACCACAGCAACTCTTAAACCCTTGGCACAAAGAGCAGTGGCTAGAAAAATCCCCAAAGTACCCCCACAAACCACTATGTCAAAGGTTCCAATGAGATTATTCTCCGTAGCATAATCTTGAGAGAAACCAGATACCCTAGAAACAATTTTCTGAGTTTCTTGCGGTCCTGCAAGATGTTTCACAAAGACTAACTTTCATCACCAAGAGAACACATTCCTTTATAATCTGAATGGTAACAAACTAATTATTACCTTTTGGTTGAGTACATATGTTGGACCAAATATTGTCAAGCCTCTTCAAGGCATTGTAAGAATAAGCACCACCAGCACCTCCAGCTTCTCCACCAACTGAAATATTCTCCATTATCTTCTGCATATCGAAATGATTGAACTCATACTCAGCTAAAAACATATTATCATCGTGAAGTTAAACATGCTTATCCAAACACTTAAAAAGGCTCTCAAGATTCACATACTACAAGAATTATAAGATTTAATCAATGAACTACGAAATATAAGGTTCCACCACAATGCAGACTGAAAAATTACTCTATTTCTCATGAAGTTCGCAACTTTTTTTATCAGTAACAATTACGACCATCAGTTTCACTTTTTTTCTTTCTTCCAGAGGATGCGTAATTGAGCTGAATCGTTCATCAAGCAAGCGAATTTTGGAACACATTTAAGCTTTGCTATAAGAATTTAAAACGTCCAAATCAAAAGAAAGCTTGACCTGTGTTCTAGAAGGAGCCGCTTGTGTTTGAACGCACACTGTCTTGGCAGCTCTCCCTCTTCCTCGGTTTGACCGAGCTCTTGATACAGAACTAACGAACCCATTGAACTGTTGAATTTGCAGAACCACCATGACTCTGCTGTGTTCCAATAAAAACTCCGAAATGTTATAAAATCCACAACGGAGAGAAAGCAAACTGGAAAGATTGTGCAGTGTGACAGAGAATGTGACACGTTACAGAATAAAATTGGAACAAAACAAAAACAATTGGGTAAAAGTTAGCTCAAATAAAAACTTCAGGTCCAAAAGTAAAATAAATCTAAATATTAGGGTCGTTTCTGTAATCTTTATTGTATCCTCTTCACTTTTTTTATTGATTCATCAAATTGGGATCGGATAAGCCTCTGGTTCAGGGTTTTAGGGTTTTTGAAGCGACAAGTTTCACTCACACTCACACTCACGAAGGTAAGATCTTCGATTTCGATGCGTATTGTGTGTCTTAAGCTAATTCTGGTTTTGAAATTGACAACCTTTTTTTGCTTGTTGGGTTACACTTCTTATATCTCTTCTTGTTAAGTATAAAGCTTATATCTTCAATTTTGGGATGAGTTTTATGGGATTATCTCCCAGTATTTTGTGGAATGATCTTGAATTTATAGGTTGACTGGTTAGAGCTTCGAATTTGTGGGTTTATGTAAGGTCTGGGATGTATATTTTCACTTTTCCAATCGAAATAGCAAATGGGCATTTAGCTTATTTCTTGAATTGTGAGTTTATGTTACGTTGTGTCCTTGTTTCATAGTCAGCTATTGCAAGAGGTTAGTTAGATGATAAAAGCCTTATGCTTTACAAGAATTCACTTTTACACTAGACTTTAGAAATTTTTTCTCTGTTTCAGGAGGTAAGAGGACATTTAAACATAATAATATTTCGAATATGTGATATTTGAAGTTCATTGTCGATCTCAGGTTTAGTTCTCATGCTCCTCTCATAATGAATCTTCCCTTCGTTATCTGCAGATCCAAAACTCTGTTTTTTCACAAGATTGGACTGAGGCAGCTATGGCAAGTCTGATAATGACTACACCATTCCCAGGTTCTATCACTTCATGTAAGAAGACAAACAACCTGTCTGTTCAGAGAGCTTTTAGGGTGACATCTATGCAGACAGAGAAACCGTTGGAGGAGCTGTACAATGTTAAAGTGGAGCGGAAAGTTTCACAGAAACGGTTGGAGGAGCTCGGTGTTTCGAGATGGTCAGCTTGGAAGACAGGGAAATGCAAATTGCCATGGGATTGGCAAGTGGATCAGTTGGTTTACATAGAAGAAGGAGAGGTTCGAGTTGTTCCCGAAGGAAGCAAGAGGTATATGCAGTTCTTAGCTGGAGATCTTGTTCGATATCCTAAATGGTTGGAAGCGGATCTTTACTTTAACGCTCCATACAGTGAGCGGTATTGTTTTAAGGCCTATGGTGATGATTGATCGAACTTAGACTTTCAGTTTAGAGCCAAGAAACTTTACACTTGTGTGTTGGTTGTAGCCTGATGAATCTTTTTGTGATAATATTAAATAACAAGTTATCTTTTGTTCTGCATTTGCAATGCTTCATAAGTTAACAGAGGCAGCTTCAGGCATCTTTCACAGAGGGATGAAGGAAACTAGTAAAGGGGTAATGACTATAAAAAAAAAAATATTCTCAATGGATAATTAAAGAACTTTCATGGATACTAACATTCTTTTGGACAACAACATTCAAAAGAAAAAAAGACACTAACATTCAAAAGATTCAACCAAAAATATGAACTTTAAAACCTCACTGTTTGGACAAAACCTCACTGTTGCAGTCAACTGAACAAACAAAAAAGAAAGAAAACCAAGCCAGAATTGCCTGAAAACTAAAAGCCTTTTTACTTGTGGCTGAGGCAATACGGTGGGTATGATTAGGGAGAACTAGAGCTGCTCTCTCCTGAAAAGCCTTGGCTGGAGTGGCTAGAATCTCTTGCCGGAGGCAAAGGAGGATTAACGGGTAATGGTACCTGACCAGATTCACCGGAAGAAGAAGCGCCATCGCCGCCAGTAAGAGAGTTCCCGCTGCCGTAGCTGGAATTATTCGGCTGAGAAGGGACGAGAGCAAAACAGAGTTTCCCTTTTCCAGATCGGAAAGACCAGAGAGGAAAGACGTCGTTAACCTCAAACCTGTTGGCAGAAACCACATCTTTCCAACCTTTACATAAGACATAGTTCCAGTTTCCACTCATCTTCCACTTCCTCAATTCAAGGGCATGCTTCTTCATCTCAGGATCCACTAAATCCACACTCACACCTTCTTCACGAGTCTTCATGGCATTCTCATGTATGATCATTGTCTCCTGCTCTGTCAAAAAGTCTGGAGTTTTCACTTGTCTAAAAGGGACAGAGAGGCGTGCTTGAAGTATGTCGAGATCAGTCTGATACAGTTTCCTAGTTGAGATCAGCTTCGGATTGTAGCCATTCTCTTCTCTCCTCATCACGTTCAAAAGCCACTCCGGTGGAATCATTTGAATCGGTTCCACCTCTAAAGCACGAACAACTTTACGTTTCTTGCGGCTTCTCTCTTCCACGTCAATGGGACGTTTATTCTTGGACCGACCTCTAACGCTAGAAGACTCAGAATCCTGATTCGGGTTTCGTACTACTGGTTCCACGGAAGTAATTGATCTACGTTCTAAGAGGCTCTCAAGCCTCTCCCCGATAACTTCGTGCATCATCTCCACCATATTAATCCACCCTGAGTAAACCCTAGGTTCCTCCTTTTCTGATTTGTCCACCTTAGCCTCGTGCTCTAACGGCATGGAGGCCGCACACAACAGTGTAATGATTTTATCGTCGCCATCAGTACTGTACTCTTTGTCCACATCCGACGAAGGTCTCGAAGATGGTTCCACCTCAAGACAACCAAAAGTTTGGGGATTTTCAGGAATCGTTTGCTTGATAAGTTCACAAAATATCTGCTTATAAACACTACGATCATCAGATTTCATCATCGTGATCAAAGCTCTTGAAGACATAGAACCAAAAAGGAAGAAAACCTAGAAGGAAACTCTTGAGTTCTAAACCTCGAAAGGGAAGGTTAGCTTTATATGCAAGCAACGAAGCAAAATTGGAAAACTGAAGAAATTTTCCTATTCTTAGTTATTGAGAAATTGATTTTAACAAAACTTAAAACGAGAGTCGGTTTGATGCGTATTTGTAATCTTTTAAAATACTATTTTGACAAAACTACCCTTACACATGTTTTTGTTTATGAGATGTTTCCATAATAACATGAGTACTTGTTTGATATGGAAGTAACTAAATTAGTAGTTTCAGCTCCTCTGTTATCAGAACAGAGCTCCTCTGCCAAAAACATGTTTTTTGAATAACTTGACACACATTCAAAGATCAAACTATATACAAAATCAAAAAGGAAAAAAAAAATCAATCCTAAAGGTGTCTGATGCCCCTAAGCTTGTTCTGTTTATCACTCTTGGTGAACCACCCCGGCTTGTACAAAGCAACAACATGTCCTATTACCAATCCAAACAACACTCCTGGCCCATACCCTATTGCTGCTGCTCTCCACTCCAATATACCATCTTCTTCTTCTTCTTCTTCTTCTTCGGGATCTTGTGTCGATGGTGCGTCTTCGCTTGAACAGCTTTCTTCAAGAGGCAGACCGCATAACCCTTGATTCCCTCCAAATGATGATTTAGGCTGGCTTATGATTTGTGTCCCTTGTGGTATACTACCAGTGAGCTGATTATCAGAGACATCTATGTACGCCAAGTACGATAGCCTCCCCATTTCTTGCGGAATCTCCCCTGAGAGTTTGTTCCCTGACAGGTCTAATGACTCGAGCTCAGCCACGTTGGCGAAAGACTTTGGGATATGTCCTGTGAATGAGTTGGCTGATAAGTTGAGGGCAATCAATGTTTTCAAAAGACCAATAGATTCTGGAATCTCTCCTTCGAGTTTGTTTCCAGAGAAATCAATGGCAGAGTAGAAAGTAAGAACTTTCCCTTGCTCCATGTATAGACCTTTGTATTGCAAATCCAAAGTATCTTCATAAGCAAACCGCTCATTCGAGTAATCTCCCATATATAGCCTCTCTTCATCATTCATCTTGGCGGATGTTTCAGTCCAGTCCGCAAAGTAATCTGTTGGTAAGCTTCCGGTAAATCTGTTATGGGATATTTCAAGTATCTGGAGCTTGGGAAATGCAAGAGGACCTTGATCATCAGGTGGAGATATAGGACCATAGAATCTGTTTGAACTGAGAGTAAGGACTTTCAAATTCGGCAATGCCTTGAGCCAGAAGGGAAACGTATCATTGAGTCTGTTGTGATCTAGAGGTAGAAAACTTAGGTGAGAGCAATTCAGGAGTGATCTTGGAAGCTTTCCGGTTAGACGATTGTATCCAAGGTCAAGAGACTGTGTCAAAGCACCACTATAAAACTTGTCTGGAATGTCTCCTTCCAACTTGTTTTTCCGGAGATTCACTATAGAGAAATTACCCATACAAGGAGGGATTGGCCCGGTGAAGTTGTTGTAGGACAGATCAAGAAGATCGAGAGCGGTTCGGTTACAGACTGAGAGAGGAATCTCTCCTGTGAAACTATTGTTCCAAGCAGACAAGTGGATGATAGAGAGTGGTGGATTAGGCAATGAACCTTGGAAAGAGTTTAAAGCAATATCTAATACCTGAACCGCTGAATTGGCTAAAACGTCATCCAAGGAACCTTCGAAACCGGTGAGTGAATTGTTGTGAAGATCCAGAGAGGCTAAAAGAGGAAGACTCCATAACCAATCAGGAACGTCCCCTTTGATTCTGTTGTTGGAAAGATCTAGATACGATAACTTCCTCAAGGACTTCAAGAATCTAGGGAATTCACTGATGTTGCATCCTGACAAGAGCAAGCTTGTCATGTTCTTTGGAAATTGGATGTCTGAATTCACACTCGTTGGTGTTAAACTGTTTCCGGAAAGATCAAGGTGTGACAACGATTGGAGAGAAGAGAAGAGTGTCAAGTCAATTGAGTGGCCGCTTATGTCAAAATGGTTATCCCCAAGCTGTAAAGTCTCGAGTTTAGAAGAAGAAATATTTTTGATTTCAAATGAGCCAGTGAGATGATTGTCCCTCAAATCAAGAAAATACAAGGAAGGCATGGTGAAGAGAGAAGAAGGTATGGTTCCAGAGAACTGATTAAAAGAAAGGTCTAAAACTGAAAGATTGGTTAGATTATGTACAACTGGAGCTAAATCACCAGTGAGCTTGTTGTGGGAAAGCTGTAAAATGGTTAAATTGGGAAGGTTGCGTATTGAAGAAGGAACTTGGCCGAGAAAGCCATTAGAGGAGAGAAGCAAAACCTCAAGATTGTAGAGTTGACTAAAAGCAGAGGACAAGGGAGAAGAATCGAAGTTGTTGAAAGAGAGGTTTAGGTAACGGAGATGACTCAACTCGAAGAGGCTACTGTTTGGTCTGAGAGTGCCACGTAAACATCCACCAGGGAGTACAAGTTTAGTGACGGCACCGGTCGTGTTATCGCAGACCACACCGCTGAAGAAGTTGGTGTCGTCCCTGCAGATTCTGGAGAAATCAAACTCGTTTCTAAAACGTTTAAGGGTCTCGGTTTGGTCGGGACGACATTGGAGGGCAGCGACACAGTGGAGGATGGAAACGAGAGAGAGTAAACGCCAAAAGGAGTTTGACATTTTTGGATAAGTTGTAAAAGCTTTTAGGAAGCGTAATGGATCTTTTCTTTTGGCATGTGAAGTGAATCATCATCAATCCCTTATAGTGGCCTTGTTATATAGTCACACAAGTGGTACACATATGCGTGGCTTGAGTTGTTGAGACTCAGAAATAGTCATATTATAATGTCAACATGGCTATAAAGAAAACAAAATGAAATTATGGCTAATTATTTCTTTACGCGGTGCCTGCGTTCCAAAAAATTAAATAGTTTAGTTTCTATCTTTCTTTGGTCTTTTGTTCATACGTACGTACGTGTGTATTCATGAGCAAATATAGATCACTCTTTTCCTGGTCAATACTTTAATGAAGTTTTCCTGGTCAATACTATATTTGAAAAAATTTTAATATAGCAGGATCGTTTTTAAGAAGAATATAGCAAGAGGATTTGTGAGTTGCATCTTGCATGTGTGCATAAGCTAGATTGAAACTTTTAGCTATTCATGTTCACGTGTGGACATTTAAATTGTTAATATACGGCTTCTTTCTTTGTTTTGTATTTTGTATACTTTCACGTTGCTTGAATTCTTGAAATTCTCAGAAGTTTTTCAGATATATACATAATAGATTGCGTATTATACTATTCTACTGTTAGTATTATAAAAAAGAAATACGACTTACATTTCTTTCAATGCCATGGTTGGTGACACTTTTATTAGCCGAGTTCCAGGTTTGATCTACTGAATTAAGTGTCATACAGTCAACGATTGACTTTTGTTTCTGGTCAACACATAATAGATTCCCACGTAAACTATAGCTAGTTACATTATTTTTGAAATAAAGAAAACGTAACTAGTGTATTTTTTTTTAGTATATCTGTATATATGATGATAGAGATATAACAACGCCTCGTGTTTATTGTGCGAATTAGGTGAGTAATCATTGAAGATAATCGTTATTAGTTGAATGTCAACACAGGTAACCAGAGATACATATTACATACCTTTTGGAGAGTTGTGTTTATAGGTAACCAGAGATACAAAGAAATAGTAACGTGAATTGGCGACGTTGAACATTAGTCAATGAGCCTCTATGAGTATTACTCTCCAGATAAACTTTTGATACACGTCAAAAAAGTAGAGCAATTTAGTAATTTACCATGGTAATTGTTATATATATATAACTCTATATTTATTATGTAATGATGGTTAACTATGTTAATTTTTTATATTTTTGAATGTGTTTTAGAGAGGTATATATGTATATATATTATGTACAATATAGGTTATATATAATGGAACTATTTAATTGTACTGTAATCTGGTAAATATATGTGTTCAGCAATTTTGATGATTACATAACCATTGAAGATGCATGACGTGATCCCTTAATGTCTTCATAATTAAGGTTATGACTCAAAACACAGATGTTTACCACACAAAAATAAAATAGATCGAATATCAAGTTTGTAATTTATTTTATTCATAGAACAAGTGGATTACTTAAACTGATCACATTTATAAAATTTTAATCTTATTTTTGGTTCTATATAAACGATACATAAAATAATTTTTTTTGCTTGTCCAGAAAAAAAAAAGTTATATTATTATTCTATGACGCCCTCAATTAATATGTGTAGGATATTACAATGCCACATACAGTAAAACCTCTATAAATTAATACTCTATATATTAATAAACACTATAAATTAATAAATATTTTTGGTCCCAAGTCGGGCCAGTGTAAATATTAACCAAATTCGATAAGATAATAATTTTGTTGAAATCCCTATGTAAATATAGTCCCAATAATAACATAAATTAATAATCACACACATATATATATATATATATGATATAATTAGTTATGTTGAAATATGGTTTTAGTTTTTTTTGTAAAAATGAATTTCTCCTAGACCTCATCTTTATAAAAAAAAAGTTTATGTTACACTTTTAAACAATAATCTTATAATATATTTCATAACATCATAAAATAAACAATTTTTTTTAATGTTTTCAATTTATAAATATGCATTATATTCATTTTTTGCTTGTTTATAGGATGTTAAAAGATAACAGAAATTGAGGTATTAATCTTTTTTTTTGTCATTGAGGTATTAATCATAAATTTGAATTTATGTATGTACTTTACATAGAAGTGAATTTATTTAGAAATTTTTTAATTCTTTGTTATTTTTTTATATAAATATAGAATTCAATTCTAAACTATAAAAATTTATATAATCTTAAAGACTAATCTTATTTTGTAAATTTGTCCCAATTCATAATTTCAAAAAACATTTAAGAGTTAAATTACCACTATAAATTAATAATTATTAATTTATACTATAAAATAATAAATATTAATTTATAAATAAATTAATATCACTATAAATTAATAAATTTCTGTAGTCCCAACATTATTAATTTATAGAGGTTTTACTGTATTTTGTAGGAAAATAATACATCTTGTAAGAAATAATTATTTTTTTATAAAAAAAATTCCTTAAACGAAACCGACTCCCATATTAGAAAAAAAGTTAAAAACTGGTATGGTTTGATTAGGAGTTTGCTTACATGTTTCCTTTTTTTTTTTTGGATTTGTCACGTTTTTTTTTTTTTTTCGTCTGAATATTTCATTATAAGCTTCAAGGTTTTTACAAAATGTTACAAAAAATCATAAGGATCAGGGACAATCACCATCAAAGGAGAGTAAACAAAACATTACTAATACGTAACGTACATCTCCTCGTCGAACACTTCATGTAGCCATGAAGGGTGGCCGGTAGCCACATATGATTGTCCTCGATCCTCTCTCGTTACGCTTTGCGCAATTAGAAAAGCACCCTTATTAGCACTACGACACTCTTTGTGAATCTTCCAAAAGGGTATGGGTTTTAAGGCTTCAAGAATGGCCTCAGATTGGAATTTATAAGACGGCCAGGCCAAAGGACGAGCCACCGCCTCATATAGATCGTTTGCCTCAAACGCCAAAATGACCCTAGGGATGTGAAGACTGGTAATGCTTTCAATGGCCCAGAGCCAAACACTCAGCTCTGCATCACTTTTAGAAATAACCGGATTAAAGGCTCTACGGCTATGAAGGAGAACTAATCCTTCAGAATTCCTCAAAACCCACGCAGCTCCAGCCATCTTTTTCTCTTTGTTCCATGATGCAGCAATGTTACATTTTAACCACGGTTTATCAGGTGGCCTCCAAGACTTACCATTGCTCTTCGATTTCTGGCTATTAGGTTCACCTTCCTCCTTTTCCACCTGCTGAGCAAGGAACCATTCACATGTATCCTCTTTGATCTTCATAACCATATCCTGTATACCAAAAGACCTTCCTTCAAAAGCAAGATTGTTCCTATATTTCCAAAGCTTCCATAAAATCCAAGGGATCGATCTTGCTACATGACCTTCTCCTCTCGCCTTTTTGGCCAGCATCAACACAAAATAAAGGTTCTGGTACAGAGAACTTACATGGAATCCGTTTTCAGGATGGGGAATCTCACAAAGGGCCCATATTTGTCTAGCAAGAGGGCATGCAAAGAGGATATGGTTAATGGATTCACTCTCCATTCCACAAATTTGGCATCTTTGATCAATTTTAATACCCCTAGTCACCAATCTTTCAGCCACAGGAAGGGCACCAGACATAGCTTTCCACATAAAAACCTTGAGCTTTGATGGCGCAGAACATTCCCAGATTCTCTCTTTAATGGGATTTAGTGAAGGTTGCCAAGATGCCTCTTGGGATATATCAGCATTTTTCATCTTTTCCGCCAACCAATAGCCCGATTTGACCGAGTACTCACCACTCTTTGTATGTAACCAGCACATAAAGTCAGGAGAAGATACAACCGGTTTTATTATGAGAATAAGTTCAATATCCCTCGGGAAAAAATGATGCTGAAGAGAGGTCATTTCCCACGTTTTGGAAGTAGGATCAATTAAATCTTGTACTTTTAGATCCACGTTGACCAGGACGTTCTTCATAAATGGAGATCTCATCTCTCCATCCATCAACCATTTCCCATTCCATACATATGTGTCAGCTCCATCCCCAATATTGTTTCTCAATCCTTTCTCAAGAAGTTCCCTCCCAAAAAGTATACTTCTCCAAGCAAAAGAGGGTCTGTTTCCTATAGCAGCCTGGAGAAAAACTTCACCCTCGTAATACCGACTTTTGATGAAACGCGAGAACAGACTGTTTGGATAGTGGAGAAGTCGCCAAGCCTGTTTTGCCAAAAGGGCTTGGTTAAAGTTTTCAATGTCTTTGAAACCTAAACCTCCCTTGTCTCTAGGCAGACACATTTTATTCCAAGCCACCCAATGTATCTTCCTATGGTTCTCCATAGTATTCCACCAAAAGTCAGACATTGCACTTGACAAGGTAGCACAAGTAGCTTTAGGAAGTTTAAAACAAGACATTGCAAAGACTGGCATCGCCATAGCCACAGATTTGATGAGGACCTCTTTGCCACCTTGAGAGAGAGTTCTAGCAAACCAACCTGAGAATCTGTTTTTTAATCTTTCATTGATATAGTCAAGCATATCAATCTTAGAACCACTGAAACATTCCGGAAGTCCTAGATACGCCCCTGCACCACCTTCATTAACAATTTTTGTCTTGTTCCTGATCCTTTCTTGCATCCCCTTTTCAACCTTTGCTCCAAAGGTAATGGAGGACTTATCAAGATTGATAAGTTGACCAGTGGCTTTCCCATAAACTTCCAACACATGTTGTAAGGCCTCACATTGGTAAACATCCGCCTTACACACAAAGAGACTATCATCTGCAAATAGGAGGTGGTGAATTGATGGTCCCTCGGGAGAGAATTGCAGCCCATTAATTCTACCTTCCTTTTCAGCTTTGTTGAGCAAATGAGTAAGCCCCTCAGTACATAATACAAAAAGGAAAGGGGATAAAGGGTCCCCCTGCCTTAGTCCTCTCTGCGGTTCCACCATTCCAAAGGCCTGTCCATTAATCAACACAGTGTAAGTGACAGAAGTTACACAAGACATTACCAACTTAATCCACATAGCATGAAATCCCAGGGCAGACAAAAGAGCTTCCAGGTAAGACCACTCAACCCTATCATAGGCCTTTGACATGTCAGATTTGATGGCCATATACTCCTTTGAGATAGATTCATGAGTTCTCAGACCGTGGACTACCTCATGAGCAATAATGATATTGTCTGAGATTAAGCGTTCCGAAACAAAAGCCGACTGGTTAGGGGAAACAATCTCAGCAAGAAAGGGTTTGAGTCTTGAAACCAAAATCTTGGAGATGATCTTGTACATGACAGAACACAAGCTGATGGGTCTAAGGTCAGACATATAGGAGGCATTTGTCTTTTTGGGAATGAGACATAATTGAGTGAAGTTCCACTCCTTGTCAAAGGTGCCATCTTTGAAAAAGCCTAGAACTTCAGCAGTGACTTGATCCCCAATGATCTCCCAGTACTTTTGAAAGAACAAACCAGTCATACCATCTGCACCAGGAGCACTAGAGGGTTTAATACCAAACACAGCCATTCTAACTTCCTCTTTAGTGACTACAGCCATAAGACCCACATTCATTTCCTCTGAGACTCTCGGTTGAAAATCCTCAAACATTCTAAGGTCTGATTCTTCAGGGTAAGAAGAGGAGAAGAGCTTCTGAAAATATCTAGCCGCCACATCCCCTTTAGAAGCTTCTGATTTGTGAGTTTTTCCTTCTTCATCAATAAGCTTATCAAGACCATTCTTATTTCTTTCAGCCTTAACCGAAGCGTGAAAGAACTTTGTGTTTTTATCTCCAGAATGCAGCCACTTAAAGCGAGTTTTTTGCTGCCAAAAACTTTCCTCTTCTTTATGAGCTTGCACCATCTCTCTCTTAAGTGCAGCCATTCTGACAAAAGACGGGTTAAGAGCTGCATGTTGAGCCTCAGTCTCTTCCTGGATTCTATTGATTTTAATCTGAGAGTTTGTAGCATTCTCCCTCTTCCAGCGACTCAAAGCTTTTCTGCATCTTCTAAGGCTTGCTGAGGTTTTCTGCCCAAATGCAGAAGAAGAAGCTAGCCATGCCTCCTTGATCGTTTCTTTCACTCGCGGCTTGTTTAGCAGTCTTTTGTCAAATCTGAAACTCCCCCTATAGGCTTCTTGAGACGAAACAAGTTTCACCAAAACCGGTCTATGGTCTGATCCCTTTTTATCTAGGAAAGCTTGGTTCGAGGCTGGAAACATCTTGACCCATGCTTTATTGCCAAAACATCTATCCAATTTACATTGGATCCAAAGATCACCTCTTCTACCACCCCATGTGAAGCTGTTCCCTGTGCTCAAAAGTTTAGTCATCTCACACCCTTTTAACATACTTCCAAAATCACCAAAGGAAACCTCACTTCTTCTTGGTCCCCCCAACTTCTCACCATTGTGAAGGATTTCATTAAAATCCCCTATCATGCCCCAGCACTCCTTCCTTGGGATACCAATCCTAAGAAGCCTTTCCCAAACTTCATTCCTAAAATAGCTATTAGGATTCCCATATATACAGGACAGAAAGAACTTAGCATCTCCCATCACCACATGAAGATCTAGAATATTCTTATCTTCAAGCAAAAACTCCACTTCCACTCCTTTCTTCCAGAATAAAGCTAAACCACCACAACGCCCAACTGGCTCAACCGTTTTAACAAAATCATAACCCAACCACCCCTGAATATCTACAAGAACATTTTTTACATTCATAGTCTCCATTAGGAACAAGATCTCAGGAAAATGTTTTTTACGCATTTCCATGAGACGTTGAACTGTCAGGTCTTGAGGCCGCCCCAAACCCTGGCAGTTCCAGCTCAGAATGCTCATTAGATCTTGGACGGTCCCTCATTTGGGACCACCTCTGGGTTGTTGTGCTTAGCAACTTTTTGACCTACATACTCCTCATTTCCTCCTTTCCTCTTGTCCATGTTCCCTTTCTCATTCCCTTGTTTCTTTATAACCACCCCTTTGCCTTTCTGATCCTTCAAAGGAATTGGTTTTCTTTTGCTCACATAGGGTCTTTTCCTTCCCTTTCCTTTTCTCTGTTTAGTCCCGGAAGAGCCAGCCTCATAGAAGCCGACTGCATAAGCCGTTGGACTAACCAAAGAAGAGGAAGAGTCCTGAGAGTAATCCACCAATGCAAGCTCCTTAAAACCTTTCACTGGCACCGCCTCATTACAGCTACTTCTTCCTGCTTGGATTGCCGCATTCATAAGCTTTTCTGTTCCCTCAGATTTAGACCCATTTAGAGATGATACCTCAGATCCCTCATAGCCAAAAACTAACCCTTTTCCTTTGTTGAAGTCCTTAGAGATTAGGGGAGGAGGTTCCATCCGTAGCACTGTCTTTTGAGTAATAGGGTCCTTTTCTGCTTCTGCAACTGAGCTTTTAACTCTCTCAATTCTCAGGGCCAGATCTTCAGTCGTTGCAAGTCTTAAATACTGTCTCATGCCATCAAGAACATCCTGCGCAATTCTCGGTCTTCCCAATAGAGGATGTATACCAACCTGTTCTTCTTTTAGCACACCAAAAAGAGGGTCCCCTTCTTTTAAGATCAAGGTTGGTTTTGGTTTCTCCACTTTCCTTCCCATCTTCCTTTCAATGACTTGGTCTTGAATCTTTTTCAAAACCAGTGGACACTCCTCTTGGACATGCGTCATTCGCTGGCAATTGTAGCATCTTTTCTGGACTTTTTCATAGAAGTAAAATATTGTAGAAGTAAGCCCTTTCGGAAGGTTGATAATCTTCGATTTTCTTAAGGGCTTCGAGACATCAAACTTAACCTTCACTCTGACATAATCCTTGTTTTGTGGTTTGTCAGGGTCAAAAACCACCTCAAGAACCTGCCCCACTAATTCTCCAAGAAGAGTAATCGCCTGTTTGGTATAATAATTCAGCGGGATGTTTTTAATCTGAACCCAAAGAGAGACAAACTGAAGTGATTCCACACTCGGGTGTTCAGACCATCGTTCCATTGCCAGCCCCCACTCATTGTAGGTCTGGAAACCTTTCTCTAAAACTTCCACTAAATCATGCTCAGAACTAAAGATGAACTGAAATCTTTCACTTGAGAGAGCCACGCCACGAACTCTCCCAATCTTCTGCCACTTCCTAGGCATATTAAAGACTAAGCTTGACATACTTTGACACTTAGGATTTAGCAATCTTCCAATCAAACTTAACTCATTCTTCTCGCAGGAGCTGAACTGAGGTAAATCCGGCATCTCAAAAGGAGCATCTTCCTCCTCCAGCGACATAGCCATTAACGCTTTATCCATAGCCGACGACATGGTAACCTCCGTCCGGATCAAGACCGTAGAGACCAGCTGATGATAAGAACAAAGGATAACCAAAGCAAAAACCAGAAACCACCACAAGAGAGCAGAGAATAAACCAGCTGAAGAACCAGAGAACTTCAAACCCAGAAGGATCTATGTTAACCACCGCAGTTAGCAAGAACTTAACCTAGCCGCCACTGAAAAGGTTACCAAAACCACCTAAAAATTATCTAAAACGGGGAGTTTTGTACTGAGGGAACGTGTTTTCCGGACGACACTCTATTTTCAATAGAAAAGGATACTCTATCTGAAAAAGAGGAGACTAAGCCCAAAAAAGGGAGACGGGAGGATTTCTTGAATATTCTTTCTCTGATACGGAAACGATATGTGAAACGATATGATTTGTCACGATTACATATTATCCGATTTATAAGATTCGTCTTACAAAAAAAAAAAAAAGTAAACCTGATTTGGTTGTGCTTAGTTAAAATATATATATTTCCACTATCCCATAATCAACTTTCATACTTTGATCACAACATACACTGAAGCCCTAGTTACATGATGATCAAGAACGAAGAAAAGATAAGAGTAAGGATTGCCAAGGAGAGATCTGACTTATGTGACTTGGCTGCTGCTGCGATTAAGGCTACATACGATACACGGGAACCAGGCGGAGTCGAGCGATGCATCGATGTGTTGAATCACTTGAAGTCCCTGTCTCTTTCGGTGAATGATATGGAACTGTCTGAATCAATAGCTAAGCTGGAGCCTTTGAGAAGGCATAGGAACCCTAAGATCCGTAAGGAAGCTCAAGCCTTGTTTCATTCGTGGTTGAAGACGATCTACACACAAGGAAGCGACAACTCTTTCCAAGCTACTCTTAACAAGGCTCGTCTGGAGATGAAGAATCATGGTCTAACAAGGTGTTCGGAGCTGAAGAAGAAAGAAGTAAGGGGATCTATGTCTCGTGAAACCACCACCTTCTCGGTGTTGAAGAATAAAGAAGACGAGAGTTCTCAGACTCTTGAAGCCGTAGAGATTAAGAGAACGTTGAACATCTCGTAGCTGAATAATAAAGAAGATCAGAGATCATTGACTCGTGAAAAAGAGAAGATTAAGAAAGAAGCAAGGAACAACTTTTTGGCGTTGAAACAGAAAGAGGATCATAAATCTGAGACTTGTGACGAGAAATACTTTAAGAGAGAGGCAAGGACCGATCTAAAGCCGCTCAGCTTGAAGAGAAGACGTCTCGCTTTGGAGGATGGTACAACGAAGAAGCCACGTGAAGATTTTTCCTACGTACCAAGTTCTGGTTCCTTGACAAAGAAGACTACAACAGAAAAGGAAAAAGAGCTGAAGAACAAGAAAGTAGATGAGATGGTGAAGCTATTCGAAGCAGCAAAGAAAGCTGCTGATGTGGCCAACGCTAAGGGCGTTCTCTACGGCAAAGTTGAGGCCTCTCGGTGTATCGACGCTCTCTCATTACTCATGAAGATCAACATCACTCCAAAACCTAAAGAACCAACGAGGATGATGGAAAAACTCGAGAGACTTACAAAGCACAAGGACCGCAAAATTTGCCATGCTTCATCAGCCCTTCTTCAACTTTGGAGGCAGAAGATCATAGCCAGAGAACAACAACGTAGAGAATATTTGACCAATACGTTTCCTAACAACTCTCGTTAAAATTCAATAGATATGTGCGGTCAAGGTATGTCTCGGGTAGATTCAAAGGTTTTGAAACATGGAATCCAAAATATAAGTGTGAGGAAGAGATGATATCGTTTGTATGCATGGTTTTGAGTTTTGAACAAATATATTAGTGGATATCCGGGATGTTTCATCGTCCCGGCGAGATGTAGGGTTCCACATTGGAATCTGAACTCGTAAAATTCTATGTGTCTTTTAATTTTCCTTGCTTTGCTTTTTGTTTAAACACGAGTGATCGAAAGAGTAAGAAGTCAATAACCAGTCATATGTATATGATGAGTGACTCGAAAACAAAACATTCGCAGATCACACATGCAGTTCAAGGTTAAACCTTAAAAGTATCTTTAGAGTAGATTAGTTTGGGAATTATTGAATTGAATGTTGAAGTGAATGTTTAATGTTCTGAGATACAGAGATAGTTGTAGGCTCCGTGTACCTCAAATAGTCTACGTTCATATTTTCCATGCACTGATAAACTTTTTTTAAAGGACATAAGGGTTTAAGACTATATATTTGTTGTGCATTTGTACTTTGGGCAGATTTGTTTTCTCAAGCCGACCCAAATTTTAATAGTTTTGGAACCAAACCAAACCAGATTCATATTTTGGTCCAGTTCCGTCACATTCTTTACAAACCAGAAAACCAAATTTCCAAAAGTTTAGACCAAAACCGAATCACATGAGATATTGGCTAATGGCTCATGGATTAGTCAACTTTATTTGAACACCATATTGACCTCCATATATAGGTCGTCATAGTCTCATAGATTTTGCTTCTAGAAACAAAACAATTTAGAAATATTAATATAGTTGGTGCAAACAATTACTTTACTTTAAATAGGAAAGTTCGGTATATAAAAATCAGGAAGTTCATATTATTATGAACAATTTGGTCTTAGTCTCTTAGACTCAAGAATCCATATGGATTCAAACTTTAAGCATCCGCACGAATATATAACATGGTTACATATAAACAAACCTCAAAGAGCTAATAAGTTTAGACCAATCTTACCTTACTTATGACAAAATAAAATAAAAGAACCTTTGGTTAGAAGATAATTAAATCCAGTGTAACGTTATTAGCGTATACATTAATTTTTAATTAAAACGAAACGGTGATTAATTTATTAATTAAAAATAAAAAAAAAGGTAATCGCAGCGTCGTCCCTATATGTCTCTCTCCCTTTCATTTGGTTCCCTCCCCTTCTATTTTGGATCTTTCTTGCTTCCGTACACACAAAGCCAAACCATACAACAAAACTCTTCTCTCTCTCTCTCATCGTCAGAATTCAAAATTCGGATTCGTGGTTGCGTTAGGGTTTATTTTTTCTCCTTCTTCGTCTTCGGGTCACGGAAACAATGGGACAACAGAATTTGATATACAGCTTCGTGGCTCGTGGTACGGTGATTCTCGCCGAATACACCGAATTCAAAGGCAATTTCACTTCCGTCGCTGCTCAGTGCCTTCAGAAGCTTCCTTCTTCCAACAACAAGTTTACATACAATTGCGACGGTCATACGTTTAATTACCTCGTCGTTAATGGCTTCAGTGAGTCTCTCTTCTTCTCGATCTGTTCTCACGTAACCATTCAATTTTTAGCTTCCCGTTTCGCTCTCATTTTGGTGGACATAGATGTATTCTTCTTATTTATATTTGATTACACTGGATCTATTCGCGTGTATAAGTTTTAAGGATCGTTCTGCTTCGGTTAATGTTTTATCTGGATCTCTGTTCCTGGTGTTCTGATTTGGTTAAGATGTTTATATATGGCTTGTTTGTGAGAAGCCATTGTTGTTTGCTTACATGGAATTCAGAAGCTCCTTTGTTACATTGTTACATCCAAATTAGGATTCAGAATTGGAAAACTGTTTATTTTTGGGCATCAAGTGATGTTTTATCCGATTGCATGTTGATGTGGTTATATCTCTTTACTATGCTTTGCCTCTTGTGTATGATCAATACCGCTACTGATTTGTATTTGTAAGCCATTTATGGTATTATTTTTTCTATCTCATGTTTGTCCATGGACATGACAAAATGTATCTTTATTGTGTGTAGCCTATTGTGTTGTTGCTGTTGAATCTGTTGGGAGGCAGATTCCAATGGCTTTCTTGGAGAGAGTTAAGGAGGATTTTAACAAGAGATATGGTGGTGGAAAGGCTACCACTGCTCAAGCCAAAAGCTTGAACAGAGAGTTTGGGTACTTTACCTTTACCATATCAGTATGCGGAAAACCATTAAAAACATTTATGCCTTTAGTCTCTGTGGACTAACTTTGCTGTACCTCAGGTCTAAACTGAAGGAGCACATGCAGTACTGTGTGGATCATCCTGAAGAGATTAGCAAACTTGCCAAGGTTAAGGCTCAAGTGACTGAAGTGAAGGGTGTTATGATGGAGAACATCGAGAAGGTGATATTTGACAATCTCACAAATTCTGTATCATCACTTTAAGTTAGCTGTCATATCTGGCCTGAACTTTCTCTGCCCCAAGCTTTTGAGAAGCTGAATGAACTTCATGTAATTTATTTATTTGCAGGTCCTTGACCGTGGTGAGAAAATTGAGCTTCTAGTTGACAAAACCGAGAACCTTCGTTCGCAGGTTACTACTTGCGATTCACTCATGTGTCTGAATTTGCGTTCCAGTTCTCACGCTCTTATATTTTCAAATATCTACAGGCACAAGATTTCAGAACGCAAGGAACGAAAATGAGAAGAAAGATGTGGTTTGAAAACATGAAGATTAAGCTCATAGTCTTTGGTATCGTCGTTGCCTTGATTCTCATCATCATCCTCTCGGTTTGTCATGGCTTCAAGTGTACCTGAAGCTTAAAAGATTAAGAAGAATTCGTCTCGTTGCGAGATTACCAACCCCATATTGCTCTACTAAGCTGATTAGAACTTCGCCTGGTATATGCCCTTTCTTTCTCTCTGTTTTCGCGGTCTATCACTCTTTATATATTTTCTTCATTCGATTTTCTTAGGGTAAAGAAATGTGACGATTCAGTTCTGAAAATTGATTCTTTAGGGTATGAATGTTTGGAAATAGATGTAAGCTGTTGGGGTTTGCTTTAATATAGATTAGATTTTTGTGCTAATGGTAATGATATATTTTTTTGTAATCTAAAATCTAATGATGAGTTCTTACTGTTTTCTTCACTCTCCTTATTTCTTTTCTTTTGTTGATGCTAACCAAGTAAATGAAACCATGATCTGTCTCTCTGTTGCAATTATGTACACTGTCTAATGAGTGAACACAAAATTAACACGGTATAATACCCTAACTTGATCCATTTGCCTGCATCTGCAGTTTTTCTCATTAGAAAAACTAAAATGTATATAACTATGACAACATAGAATTCACCATTATTATTCCATAGAAAAATAAGCATAAAATAAAGAGTATACAGCAAACACAAATGCTTCAATACAAGATTGAAGGATCAAACTCATAATCTAATCAGTCCTAACGGTTTCTGCGCTTATTCAGACAAATGATCTTAGCGAGCCACTCTGGCTTGTATGAAGCAATGGCTTGTGCTACTACCAGTCCAAACAGCACTCCAGATCCATACCCTATTGCCACTGCTTTCCAGTTCAACACTTCTTCTTCTTCTTCTTCTTTTTCGTCTTCTTGCTTATGGTGTTGCATCGGAGGTGCACTAGTGCTGAAGCAAGTTTCCTTGAGTGGGAGACCACAAAGCCCTGCATTCCTTTCAAAGGAGGATTTAGATTGCCCAGTAATCTGTGTTCCTTGTGGTATCTCACCCTTGAGTTGGTTATGAGACACATTTATGTACTCCAAAAACGAGAGGCTCCCCAGTCCATTAGGAATAGTCCCATAGAGTTGGTTTCTTGACATGTCGAGTGACTCGAGCACCTTAAGCTTAGCCAAAGACAGAGGGATATGGCCAGTGAAAGCATTGTTTGATAAATTGAGTGCAATCAGTGAGCTCAAGAGACCAATAGATTCAGGAATCTGTCCTTCAAGTAAGTTTCCAGAAAAATCAATGGTGCTGTAGGAAGTGAGGATCTTCTGTCTCTCCATGGATAGCCCTTTGTATTGCAAATCTATGGAATCGGTATATGTAAATCCAACTACACCATATGGATTCTTCGCGTATACCATATATAAACCACCATCTTCATTCATTGTGAGTGATGATGTTTTCCAGTTGACGAAGTAACTTGGTGGCAAGCTTCCAGTAAACTTATTATTAGCTATCTCAAATATCCGCAGCTCGGGAAATCCGAGAGGACCTTGATGCGGAGGAGACATGGGACCGTAGAATTTGTTTGAACGGAGGGTAAGCACTTGCAAATTCGGTAAAGTCTTGAGCCATGAAGGAAATGTATCTTTGATGATGTTGTGGTCCACTTTTAGAATCTTGAGAGACAAGCAAAATATAAGAGACCTTGGAAGCTTCCCACTAATTCGGTTGTAGCCAACATCGAGTGTCCGTAGAGAGGCACTTGCATTGAACACGTCAGGAATACTTCCTTCCAAATTGTTCTTCCGGAGATTCACAACTACCAAATGACTCAAACATTGAGGAATTGGACCACTGAAGTTGTTGAGGGACAGATCAAGAACAAGGAGAGAGCTTCGGTTGCATATTAAAAGAGGTATCTCTCCTGTGAAATTATTAGTACTCACAGACAAGATATTGATAGAGAGTGGTAGATTAGGAAGTGCTCCATGAAATTTGTTTGAATCCATAATTAATAGCTGCACTGATGAATTTACTAACACGTCCACGGAACCTTGGAACCCATTGAACGAGTTATGTGCAATACTCACTGATGTCAGACGAGGAAGGCTCCATAACCACCCAGGGATTTTCCCTTTGATTCTATTGTCGGATAAGTGTATATACTCCAACTTCTTGAGTGTCCTTAAGATGTTTGGGAACTCGCTGATGCCACAGTCTCTCAAGGACAACATCCCCAAGGTCAACGGAACATATGAATCTGAACTTAAACTGGCTGAAGATATCTTGTTGCCGGAAAGATTGAGGTAATACAAAGATTTGAGAGATGAGAAGAGGCTTAAGCTAATCGGGTGGCTTGTGTTTATGAAAGAAAGGTCGAGAAACTCAAGGGTGATGAACTTTGAGATAGGGTCTAAAATCTGTCCATCGAAATGGTTATTCGCAAGGCGAAGGTACACTAGCTTTGATGAAGCAGAGGAGTTGGGGAATTGGATAGAACCGGTGAGATGGTTCTCGTGTAAGTCCAAATGTGATAAGGAAGGCATACTGAGGAGAGAAGAAGGGATGGCTCCAGAGAAGTTATTATAGGCAAGATCTAGATAGGAGAGCTTGGTTAGGTTTTGTATAGGTGGGAAACTACCAGTGAGCATGTTTCGATCAAGGAACAAATGTGTTAACCAAGTTAGGCTACCAAATGTGGAAGGAACTTGTCCGAATAAATCATTGGAGGAAAGATATAAGACCTCTAATTTGTTGAGATTGCCAAACTCGGAAGGGAGTGAAGAAGAGGTGAATCTGTTTTCAGAGAGATGAAGGTAACGAAGCTGACGAAACCCGAAGAGGCTACTGTTGGACTTCAGAGTTCCACTGAGACAGGCTGTGACCCGTAGCTTCGTGACAGCACCCGTAGAGTTATCGCACCACACTCCATTAGAGTAGTCACTGTGGTTACAGCCACGGGTGTCAAACTCGTTCTTAAAATGCGTAAAGGCTTGAATCTTGTGGGGGTGACATGAAACAAGACCATCATCAGGATTATTTAAATTGAATAAGCTTGAAGGGGAGACACAACAGAGTAATAGTAGCGAGTGAAAAAATAAACGCAAATGCCATTCTGATGACATGGTCGTCGTGAAAGCTTTTTTTTTCTAAGAAGAATGATTTTGGTTTATGCTGAAAAGTGAGAGACAAGTGATTGGTATAAATAATGATATTTGGTTTTGCATTATGGGCAGAAAATTGCTGTAAAGAAGTTAGAGCTACGTGAAGTCTTTGTATTCATATTTGGGGTTGAAGAACAAGTATGGCTAAGTGGGCAACTCACATCATGAATTAACTAAATCAACTTTAGTTAAAATTCCCAACTTATAACTTGGGATTGATTTAATATTAGTAATTCTTCATTGGAGGATGAGCACACTTATTGCAGTTACATATATAATTGGGTGTGTAAAGTAAAGATCCTGCCACAAATCCTGGGGCATAAATCAACATTTGACATTGACCCTAGACTAAGGGAGAGAGAGTTTTGCCTCGGTGTTTCGAGAAAGCTGGAGCTTTTGTGTTGTTGAAATAGGTCTCGTAGCTTTAGTGGACTAAACTTTTATAGCACATATGATTCTATGGGGCCTTATTCAAGAAATATTAAGAGGACAAAAGCAGCGATGGTAATTTTAAAATTGTGAAACTATTTAGATTAACTATGGGGCCTATAGATTTGTAACTAACTAATGGATTTTATTTTTATATATGTAATACTAGAGTTTGTCTCCGAAGTGTTGCAACCTAGCTATTTGTAAAAACTGAAGTACTGAACTATGGATATGACATATAGATAGTAAAATATATAGATGTGAATAATAATCATGAGTACGATTTTATAATTTAAAAATGTAAATATATGACTTAATATGAGGTTTGAAGGGAGAGACCCAACAGAGTAGCGAGAGAAAAAGCAAACGCAGATGTGAATCCGACATGGTCGTAATGAAAACTTTGTTCTAATAAGAATGATTTTTGTTTTTTATAAGAAAAGTGATTGGTTTAAATAAAGGTGCATTGGTGGACAACTTGACTTAGAATAAATCTAAAGTTACGTGAAGTCTTTGCATTCAGAATTTAAAGAAAAATATGGATAAGGGCCATTCATACCGTGAAGCGAAATCCACGTTAATTAAAAAATGTTAACGTGTAACTTGGGGTTTGGAAATTGGAATTACATCAGTTTGAAATATTTATCACATAGGTTCAAAATTGTACAGAAATAAACTTAACCTAACGACAAACACATTGGATACGTTAGTTGTCAGTTTATGGATTGAAAACGTTTGTCGCTCTTGGTGCTTCACAGAGAAGAATTGGCAATTGTTTGGTTTTGTTTGTGTGACGTGGCTCAGTGATCACTATATATACGAAACCCATAAAAACTTGTAGCCTACGCAACTCAGAAAAGGAAAACATACACACAAAAGTGATCCTCTGTTTTTAGTCCGTCTCTGTTTTGAGCTTTTGATTTCAATATTTATGGCTCTGTGTTCAGTTTTCCGTGCATGGTCGTTTCACCTTATTTGACACTCTTTTCCCCCGCCTCTGTAGTATTCTCTCATAAAAACATATGACAATGACTCCAGAGAAGTCACCATTTTTTTTTTTTTGTTTACTCCATAGAAAAATAAATAACACAAGCACTAGATAAATATTACACACCGAACAAAAGGAATTGCTTCAATACAAAACCAACAAACGACTTGACATACATTAAAAGATCAAACTCAAATTGAAACACAATCTTAACGGTTTCTGCGTTTATTCAGACAAATGATCTTGGCAAGCCACTCCGGTTTGTATGAAGCAATGACTTGTGCTACTACCAATCCAAGCAACACTCCAGATCCATACCCTATTGCCACTGCTTTCCAGCTCAACACTTGTTCCTCTTCGTCGTCTTTCTCTTTAGGTTGTTGTGTTGGTGGCGTATTACCCCCAAAGCAAGTTTCTTTCAGAGGAAGACCACAAAGCCCTGCATTCCCTTCGAAGGAGGATTCAGATTGCCCAGTAATCTGTGGTCCTTGTGGTATTTCACCTTTGAGATGGTTGTGAGACACGTTGATGTACTCCAAAAACGAGAGGGTCCCCAATGCATTAGGAATAGTACCTGAGAGTTTGTTTCTTGACATGTCTAGTGACTCGAGCTCCTCAAGATTGGCCAGAGATAGAGGGATATGGCCTGTGAAGGCGTTGTTTGATAAGTTGAGTGCAATCAACGCCTTCAAGAGACCAATGGATTCAGGAATCTGTCCTTCAAGTCTGTTCCCAGAAAAATCAATGGCGATGTAGGAAGTGAGGACAAACGTTTCCATGGATAACCCTTTGTAGTGCAAATCCATAACCATCCTATAAGTATAGCCGATGTCATCATATCGCTTTTCGTGGTATACCTTATATAAACCCTGATATTCCGATGATGTTTTCCAATTCACGAAGTAGTTTGGTGGCAAGCTTCCGGTAAACTTATTATCAGCAATCTCAAATATCTGCAGCTCTGGAAACCCAAGAGGACCTTGATGAGGAGGAGACATCGGGCCATAAAATTTATTAGAGCGAAGGGTAAGGACTTGCAGATTCGGTAAAGCCTTAAGCCAGAATGGAAACGTGTCTTCGAGTCTGTTGTTTGCAACGCTTATAAACTCGAGAGATGAGCAATTTACAAGAGACCTTGGAAGCTTCCCTGTTAGTCGATTATGACTTACATCGAGTGTCCGTAGAGAGCCACTAGTACAGAGCTTGTTAGGAATACTTCCTTGGAAATTGTTCTTCCGAAGACTCACAAGTACCATACTACTCAAACATTGAGGAATTGGACCACTGAAGTTGTTGTCGATTAGAACAAGAGAAGCAAGGGAGCTTCTGTTGCAGATTGAAAGAGGGATCTCTCCCTCGAAACTATTAGACTGTGCAGAGAAGCTTTTGATAGAGAGGGGTAGATCAGGAAGTCTTCCTTCAAAATTGTTTGCATCCAAAAATAATACCCGCAGTGATGAATTTACTAAAACTTGGGCTGAACCTTGGAAACCGTTGAAGGAATTAAATCTAATATACGCTGTGCGTAGACAAGGAAGGCTCCATAACCACTCTGGGATTTTCCCTCTCATTTCATTGTTGGATAACTGTAAATACTCCAAATTCTCAAGGGTCCTTAAGCTGGTTGGGAGTTGGCTGATGCCGCAAAACTTGAGGAACAAATATTTCATGGTCAACGGGATGTTTGAATCTCTACTTAAACTGGCTGGTGATAAACTATTACCAGAAAGATCGAGGTGCACCAAAGATATGAGAGAGGAGAAGAGCTTTAGTTCAATTGGGGAGCTAGTATTTAAAAAAGAAACGTCAAGGCGTTTGAGGTTGATGAGCTTTGAGATAGGCTCTAGGATTTTTCCATCAAATTGGTTATCCCCAAGGTACATGATCTCGAGCCTAGATGAGGTAGAGGAGTTAAAGGATGCTTTAATAGAACCGGAGAGATGATTTTGGCGTAAATCAAGAATTGATAAGGAAGGCAAAGTGAGGAGGTACGACGGAATGGTCCCGGTGAACTGATTAAAACCAAGTCCTAGTTTCGAGAGCTTAGTTAGATTTTGTACAAGTGGCAAACTACCAGTGAACTTGTTTAGGAATAGGTGCAACTTAGTTAACTGGGTTAAGTTACTAATTGTGGGGAAAATCTTACCAGAAAACCCACTAGAGGTAAGATATAAGACCTCTAATTTGTTGAGATTGCCAAATTCGGAAGGGAGTGAGGAACTAAAGTTGTTGTAACCGATATCAAGGTAACGGAGGTGGTGCGACCCAAATAGGCTACTGTTACCATCCAATGTTCCAGACAAGTGATTATAGGAAAGGTTTAAATAAGAGAGCTTTCTTAGATTTCGCACAAGTGGAAAACTACCAGTGAGCTCGTTACTGGAAAGGTCTAAACTGGAAAGCATGGTTAGGTCACTAAATGAGGAAGGAACTTGGCCATGGAAGCCACTAGAGGAAAGAAACAAAACCTCTAATTTGCTGAGCTTGCCAAACTCGGAAGGGAGTGAAGCGGAGGTGAAGCTGTTTTCAGCGAGATCAAGGTAACGTAGCTGATGAAACCCAAAGAGACTACTGTTTGGCTTCAGAGTTCCAATGAGACATCCCCTTAGACGTATCTTCGTGACCGCACCCGTCAAGTTATCGCACCAGACTCCATTAGAGTAGCCACTGCGGTTGCAACCGCGGGTATCAAACTCGTTCTTAAACTCTGTAAAGGCTTGAATCTTGTGGGGATGACAAGGAACAACAACAGGATTTTTTAAGGTGAAGAAGCTTGAAGGGGTGACAGAACAGAGTAAGAGTAGCAAGAGAAAATGCAAACGCAAAAGTGATTCCGACATGGTCGTCATGAAACCTTTTTTAAGAAGAATGATATTGGTTGAATAAAAGTGTAAGAGAAGATTGGTATAAATAAAGATAATTTGGTTTTGCATTGGAGCATAACTTGACTTGGAAGAAGTTAAAGCTACGTGAAGTCTTTGCATCTCAAATCATGAAGTGATATCCACGTTAATTAGTTTAAATTTCTGACGTATTACTTGGGATTAGAATCATATCGGTTTCAAACTTCTCAGTTCTCACATATGTTCAAAGCTACATAAACAGACTTAATACAGTATAACGACAAACACATTGGATACGTTTCTCAGCTTGTAAACTGGAGACTTCTGTAGGTATTTGTGTTTTTACGAAGAAGAATTGGCATTATTTTGTTTTTAATTGTTTGTGGATTGTTACGTACGTTCGAACTTCAAATTGAAGTTGCGAAGTGATCACGTTCTGGTTTAAGTAACAAAAGATCGCTGAACCGAACAAGAAATGTTATTATGCTAAGCAAAGGAATTAAGAGCATGTTAAATTACCAACTGATATTTGACTCTAGACGTGTCACACAACACACGTAACGTATGAGTAAGGTGATCAGGGAGATTGGGAGAGAGTAGGATTTTTGTGTTTATTGAACTTTTATGTGATACAAGAGTTGTTTGCTCTCTGTCTCAAAAATTTTGCAATTGTAGAAACAGAGTTTGGGACAAGACATACTCATGTCATCCTTTTTGAACTTGGATTAGATCAAATACAAAGTTTATAGTTACTACTATCAATCACGGTAAATATTTAAGTTTGGTGTTTTACATTTTAATAAAGATACTTCATACCATTTTATTTTACTTTTAATTTACCATATTATCTACTACGTACGTACTCACAAAATGTAACTCAGTAATTTCATTTTTTACAAGTCTTGTAAGATATTCATTTTGTTGACATGTATTATTATAAATTTATAAGTCTGAACAGAGTATGTATAAGTTTGTGTGTATTGGAAAGATTCATAGAGTAAAAACATGTCTATAAACATATATATAAAAAAACCACTAATAACTGAGAGTCTATACTATTGCAAAAGCTCGAGTAAGAAATCATTTATCACAAGAAATAAAACCACTCAATAACTGTTCACAAAAAGTAAACAACAATTTTATCAACCAACCAACCAACCAACCAAAGCATAACATATACGGAATCAAGCATACAATGCGACTCAAAATAAAAAGAACGACATACACAATTGCTAGTGTATCATTTTATTTTGTAATAATCAATTATCATATTTCATTTAATTAAATAATAACAACGTACAAATGCATGAGCATGTGCCTCATTGATCAGTGATGGCCACCACCACCATATCCTCCTCCAAGTCCTCCCCCACCGCCCAATCCTCCTCCGCCACCACCACCAAATCCTCCCCCTCCTCCAAGTCCTCCACCTCCCCCGTATCCTCCTCCAGCACCACCACCGTATCCTCCTCCAGCACCACCACCGTATCCTCCTCCTAGACCGCCTCCACCGCCTAGACCGCCTCCTCCACCCAAACCGCCACCGCCTCCTAGACCACCCCCGCCCCCTAGGCCTCCGCCGCCTCCTAGACCGCCTCCACCTCCTAGACCGCCCCCTCCGCCTAGACCCTTACCAAAACCCTTCTTGTAAATGCCATGCTTGTGAAAGAATGGACGAGATTTGTGTAGGAACGGCCGGGGTTTGTGTAGGAACGGGCGTGGTTTTTTGAAAAAGTGTTTGTCGTCGTTAACCTCAACATGTCCGAACGCAAATTCGGCGACTAGAGCGAGTACAAAGATAAGCACACACACCTTACGGGAAATCAAACCCATAACTAAGTGGTTTGAATAGTTAACTCAAAGAGTTTTATATGATGGATATGTAAGAGAGAAGACAGTTGTGTCAGTGAACCTTAAGTCTTGGCCTGTATATATAGACATATCGTCCACTCGTGAGTACGTATATACGTGACCCGGTTTTGCTTCTTTTACCTTTTAGGTTTCTTATTATCTCTGGTTCAGCTAGTTTCTCTCCATAATCAATCTGCTACTTTTAAAATTGACAAATTGTGTCGTATGTTATAGTCTACTTATTTTAAGATTTGATCGTAACGAATGTTTTTGGATGTGGACTAACGTCAATAATCATTTATGCATTCAGAGTTGAAATGCATGGTTTATGTATAACCGTGAGGAAACCGAGAGATCGATTAGACCGGACGGTTCAAGTTGTAATAAAGCAAAGAAGATAATAATTGGTTGAGTAAAACCCTAAATTAAATGAGGTCCACCTGTCATTGGACAATTTATTTATGTCTGCCAACTGCCCAGTTGATCGCATCAAACTCACAACAAGGAAATGAAATCAATTTCATTTGAACAATTTATATTTCTAAGAAATATATATATATATGTATATATGTATGATATTATGTGCACATAAATTGAATTATATAAATATAAGTTGTTGGGTGCATGGTAAAACTAAAACCTGAAGTTGAAGAATATATACATTGTTTATTAATTAATTTTTTCATGTTATATATAGAAGAGATAAAAACTCGTTCATGGCTGAATCAATCTGGCCTCATTTTACAGAATGTAATCATCAGTTAGATATATATTGAATTAAACTAGGTGCTCGATCTGGATTAGTCATCATAATATATATATATATCTATGATCTCTCGTAAATTAATTAAGGTTCCATGCATGGATTTATAGCAAAAAAAAAAAGAGAGGTAAATAGTGGTATCACACTCTTTAATTGATGAATTATTGGTGTCGTTACCAAAAAAAACAAAAAAGTGATAATCATATCGTGGCTGCTTTGGTATTCTTTTATAGTTGAAGGGCATGCTCCACTATAAAGCCATGCATTAATAATTGTATGTATGAGGACTCTTTTTTGCATTATTCAAACCCTAAAATGTGATCTCATTTAGTGAAAAACGAAAGTGATCTCATTTATTGTGTGCCATTAAATGGTTCAAACCAAACACAAATAGTTTAAAACCTTTCATTTTCCAAACTAACAAAGATAGAAAAAACAGATAGGCTTATACATATACATGCTTCATCTACATAATTGGCTTGGGGTTGATGATTGGTTTGAGCTGTGAATGTAGAACTGGGACTTAAATTTTAAAGTCAACTGTTATCGATTTTTCTTCTTCTAAAAACTTTAAAGCTAAACAAGATCACAGTAGTTAATTTGGTTAAGAATTGTATCAAGATTTTAAAACAGTGATAAGTGATTTACATGTGGATTGTTTTCATTTATAATTACAATTTTAGTAAATAACTAGATTGATAAAATATGGCATTACGTATAACGTATTCATATATAATCGAGCTTCTTATAGTTATATGTAACTATATATGATTAAATACATACAGTTGTATGATGTGTACTGTTAAAGTCTCTATATTTGTCTAGTATGGACCATGTATTTTTTTTTTGTAATATAATAGCATGTGATCTTATATAATAATCGTTTTGTTTACTAAAGCTCTCGGGGGATTGTTGTAAAAATGTTTCAAACTATATTTATTCTATTACTACTCCATATATACATGTGTAGTACTAAAATATTAAGAAGATACAATTGGAAATTAAATGTGACATAAATTTGAGTATCCATCACCTTACTTCAACTTCTACCTACATTGACGGTTTCAAACGTTGAAAACTTTAAAGAAAAGTTTCTTCTGCCACGGTCTTTGAGTTGACGTTGACTTAGAATGAAGTCAACTATAGGCCCATTAATAAGCCCAGTAAAAGTCACAATACTGAGGCCCGTTAATAAACTTTAATTCAATCGGATCCTAAAGCTTACCCAAAAAAAAACTCAAAAGCATCAAACTAAACATCTGAAAGGTTTTGTTTGTGTGATCTCTCCAAAACTCTCATCTGATCTCTCCTCTCTCTTCCAGCTGTTTTCGTGATCGATTTACTAAGTTTACAGCTGAATACAAATTCACTGTAAATCTTAAGAACCCTAGAATACTTTTCTTTTATTTCTTCTTCTTCTTCAATTGTGATCCGTCAGGTATGAATTCGATTACTTTTCTTTATCATTTCGACGAGTTCCCCAAAGTCGTCTTCGCGTACAAGTAATTTAGCCTTATTGATCTTTTCTCTGTATGTGTAGTAGTAGCAATGCTTGATCTTTGAAGTTTACTGGAATTTCAAGATCGAATTAGGGTTCTGATCTACTTGGAATCACTCTGATTTATTTGGGTTATTCAGGTTTGTTCGTGTTTGTTGAAACAATCAAAAATTCTGAGTTCAAATCATTTTTTTTCGAGTGACTCAATTTTATTTATTAGCTCGATCTCCAGCTGAAGCTATGGCGCAGAGTAATTGGGAAGCTGACAAGATGTAAGTGGTTATGTATTATAATGAGAGCTTCTTTTTTTTTTTTTTTGTCAATTCTCAGATTTCTTGTTTTTTTTTTTTTTTTCTTCTTCTTACGTTTATGTTTTTGGGTTTTGTAGGCTTGACGTTTATATATATGATTATTTGGTGAAGAAGAAACTTCATAATACTGCAAAGTCGTTTATGACTGAAGGGAAGGTTTCACCTGATCCAGTTGGTAATAATAGACCTTCTTGTTCGACTTTTTTTTATTCTTACTTGATTTTAAGTTTTGTTAGGTGATTGATTCTTTGTTCTGTCACTCTAGGCTGACTGATTAACTCTTTGGAATGTTTTTTTTTTGTTGTGTGAATGATGTAGCGATTGATGCACCTGGAGGGTTTCTTTTTGAGTGGTGGTCAGTGTTCTGGGACATCTTTATTGCAAGGACAAATGAGAAACATTCAGAGGCTGCTGCAGCTTATATTGAGGTGGCTTCCTAGTACCATCTGGAGATATGCTCTTGTTTTTTTTTTTCCTTCTTTAGTTTTCACTTTAATAACTGACCAGTGGCTTTGGATTTTCAGGCACAACATGGTAAAGCGAAGGAGCAGCAACTGCAAATTCAGCAACTGCAATTAATGCGACAAGCTCAAATGCAACGTAGGGACCCTAACCACCCTTCTCTTGGGGGTCCAATGAATGCTATTGGTTCTGAAGGGATGATTGGGCAGTCAAATGCTAGTGCTCTGGCTGCAAAAATGTACGAGGAACGTATGAAGCAACCAAATCCAATGAACTCTGAGACATCCCAACCCCATCTTGATGCAAGAATGGCCATTCTTAAATCAGCAACAAACCATCATGGGTAAATTCATTTTCTTGCAGTCGTTTCTTCTCTCCTCACACACCGTTAACCTCTTCTCAATTTGTCAAAACAGTCAGATGGTCCAAGGCAACCATCAAGGAGGTGTTTCGGCAGCGCTGCAGCAAATTCAGTCACGAACTCAGCAGCCCACTGTAACTACTACTTGAGCACCTTACTTTATGACTGTTTCAAATCTTTTAGCAGACAAGTCTCCAATCAAATATTTTTCTTTCATTCTGTGCATCTGAATCTCTTGTACGTGCAGGAAATCAAAAGTGAAGTCAATCTGGGTACATCTCCGAGACAACTGCCAGTGGATCCTTCTACAGTTTATGGCCAGGGAATTCTGCAATCAAAGCCTGGAATGGGGGGTGCAGGTAATTTTATCGAGTGTAATGCACACTGTTGTATATGCTCACCTAGAAGATTATTGTGGTAGATACTGGTAGCATGCCTTCCATGGCAATTGGTTGACTGTGGACTCCAAAATTAACTTATTCCGCCTATGTTATGTGAAAAGTTATGATGAATTACATATGGTGTGATATGCTAATGGACTCATGAGAACCTTTTGTTTACAGTTTGTTAGATAAATTCTTATGGTGTTGTGTTTTTCTTGTGTGAAGGATTAAACCCTGGAGTGAGTGGTCTACCTTTAAAAGGATGGCCATTAACTGTAAGTCACTGTGATTCTTCTCAAAATTGATTTGTTTGCATTCCAAGCTCAGGTTTTTGCTAAGTTTCTTAACAAATGTTACAGGGCATCGACCAAATCCGACCAGGTTTAGGAGGCCCTCAGGTTCAGAAATCTTTTCTACAAAATCAAAGTCAATTTCAGCTCTCACCGCAGCAGCAACAACAACAACAGATCTTGGCTCAGGTTCAAGCGCAAGGAAATATGACTAACTCACCAATCTATGGTGACATGGACCCTCGACGATTTACAGGATTACCTAGAGGAAACCTGAATCCGAAAGATGGCCAACAAAATGCTAATGATGGATCTATAGGGTCCCCAATGCAGTCAAGTTCGTCAAAGGTAAGGATTTTTCTCAAATCACCAACAATGCATATCCCTGTTGAATGCAGTGGCATCTGTGAGTTGCATTGGCATCTGTGAGTTGCATTCTATCATCTTTTTCTGGCAGTAGAGAGAACATTCCACATTAAGTATCTCACTTTTTTTTTGTTCCGTTAGATGGTGAAATGGGATCATTTCCGATAATTGCTTGTCTATTATATGCTTTTAGATTTACTCTTTTAGGTATGTGCAACTGCTGTTACTTTTGATTTGAAAATCTGTAAGGTAATGTGTTTGTGTTCCTAACGTAGATCTATATTAGGGATCAGAATTTTTGTCTCTTTATGTTAATCACATGCTTCCAACAATCGAGAAAACTAATTTTCAATTAGTAGCTGTTTACAGCCAAATGTGGGGACTTCACTGATAAGGTTTTTATCAATCAATTTTTTTTTTTTTTTTTTTTCTGATTCCTTTCTGTTTATATCCATTGTTCTGTAGCATATCAGCATGCCTCCAGTACAGCAATCTTCTTCTCAGCAACAAGATCACTTATTATCCCAGCAATCACAACAGGTACTAATTTGTGGATCCGATCCCACAAGTCTTAGACCAACTTAATATAATACTTCAGTGTCTAAGATGATTAAGCCACAACTTCCTTTCTGTGTCTTTGATAGAACAATCGCAAAAGAAAAGGGCCTTCCTCTTCTGGTCCTGCTAATAGTACAGGGACAGGAAACACTGTTGGCCCATCCAACTCACAGCCGTCGACACCTTCTACACATACCCCTGTTGAAGGAGTTGCTATAACTGGTAACATGCACCATGTGAATAGCATGCCAAAAGGACCAATGATGTATGGTTCTGATGGGATTGGTGGTCTTGCATCATCAGCCAATCAATTGGTATGTGTCTTAATTTCTAGTAAAATGATGACGACAATCTAGTTTTGTTCTTATAACATCTGGATGCAGCATGCAGTTGTGTTGTGTATAATAAGGAAGTGCTTTCTTAGCGGCTTATGTATTTTTTGCATAGCCTATGGGGCTGTGTCTCTTTCAGCTTTTTAATGATAAGAATTAATAGCTGCAGGATGACATGGGACAGTTTGGAGATGTGGGAGCCCTAGAAGACAATGTAGAATCGTTTTTGTCCCAAGATGATGGAGATGGAGGAAGCATGTTTGGCACCCTAAAGCGGAACCCTTCTGAGCATACCGAAACCTCTAAAGGTATTCTAACGCCACCTCAAGGATAAATATGCTACTAGTAGTTGAGATATATATACAAACGGGGTCCTCTTTCTAGTGTCAGGTTTCAGTTTCAATGAGGTTAGTTCTATAAGAAAAAGTGCCAGTAAGGTCATCTGCTGTAACTTCTCATCTGATGGAAAATTGTTGGCTAGCGCTGGACATGATAAAAAGGTGCAGCATCTTAATTTCTGAGATATGGTTTGCTTATAAATTTGTGATGACCCTAAAACATCTATAGATCATTTATGTAGACTTGTAACATTTCGTTAGTTTAAAAACAGATAATGTGGATGCAAATTTCTTTTTGTCAGTAGGTATTTATTTGGAACATGGAAACACTACATGTTGAGAGCACTCCGGAAGAACATGGTCATATTATCACAGATGTTCGGTTCAGACCTAATTCAACTCAACTGGCAACGTCATCATTTGACAAAACTATCAAGATCTGGGATGCTTCTGATGTATAATAATTTATCTCTTTTTATTTGTTGCCATTTCTCGTGTTCAACTGTGACTAACTACTACCAATTTTCGCAGCCTGGTTACTTCCTACGAACAATTAGTGGTCATGCTGCACCTGTTATGTCTATTGATTTTCATCCTAAGAAAACGGAGCTTTTATGCTCTTGTGATGGCAACAATGATATCCGTTTTTGGGACATCAACGCTTCTTGCCTTGGTGCTGTAAAGGCAAGCCCCTAATCTTTTGTATGGTTTCTCTGCGGATTGAACTCTGTTTGCTAATCTTTGAATTTTCCGAGCACAGGGGGCTAGCACGCAAGTACGGTTCCAGCCAAGAACAGGACAATATTTGGCCGCAGCATCAGAGAATATTGTGTCAATTTTTGATATTGAAAATAATAACAAACGGGTCCACACTTTTAAGGTACAGCTGAATATATATTTTAATAATTTTGATACCCCCCGGGTCAAATCAACATAAAAGACTTTGTTTAGTACTTTCAATACTTTGAGTTTGAATCTTCCAACTCCAGACCAGTATGGTTTTTTTTTTTTTTTTCCCGTTCGATGCATTTGGGCATATGTTTAAAGAAAGCCATCATCGTTACTCATACACCCATCCTCCACCTAAAGAAAATTTGTGTCTCATGGTTTTATTTACTTATGTTTTGATGAATCAGGGACATTCCACAAACGTACATTCTGTTTGTTGGAGCCCAAACGGTGATTTGGTAGCATCTGTTAGTGAAGACGCTGTAAAATTATGGTCACTGAGTACAGCAGATTGCATCCACGAGCTTAGTAACAGTGGAAACAAGTTCCACTCTTGTGTTTTTCACCCTAGCTATCCCAATCTCTTAGTCGTTGGTGGCTACCAGGTATAATAATCTATGTCCCCATGAATATCTGATCTTTGTTGGAATAGTTTTTCAGTATGAGCATCAATCTGTGTCAAACAATATCCAATAGTCTATATGTTCACTTGCATGACGAGACAGATTTGATCTCTCAGTTGGTTATTAACCCTGGTAAAAACGAATCTGTGACAGACACTGGAGCTGTGGAACACAATGGAGAACAAGTGTATGACGATAGCGGCTCACGAGTGTGTGATATCTGCCTTGGCTCAGTCGCATTCGACGGGAATGATGGCGTCTGCAAGTCATGACAAATCCGTAAAGATTTGGAAGTAGAAATATCTCTATGCTCTTCAAAAAGAAAATACCAGAGAGCTCAGGACTTTTTTTGAGTATAATTCTTTGTTTAATGTTTTACAATTTTACATCAATAAGTTGGGTTTTTTTTTTTTAATATTTATAATGGGTTTGTTAATGTCAAAAGCAAAGGGACTTGTGATAATTCGAAATCTTTGTTTAAATGATCCTAGTTATCTGTGGATTTGTCTTCTTTCTTTGTTGCTGTGATCTTTTAGTGTTGAGATCAGAGATGTAAGTATTTTCTCAAAGACCGACTAAAATTGTTGAAATAATTTCTTATAATCGACTAAAACGCTTATAATGACCCCCGTTTACTTTAAGATGATGAATAAACATACAGTACATCTGTACATATCAAAGCATATACTAAGAAAGTTAAGAACTTCAGATTAAGAATAAGTTTTTTTTTTGTTTTTTTTAAATTTATCTTGTTGATCTTTTAAAATTTCTGAAATACTGTATAGAGTTAACTAAGGAAAAACTAAAATATCTTTATAGTAAGATAAATCGTAAACGGAAATGTGAAACATAAAGCAGAGAGAAGTAGAAAGCACGGTTACGTTTGTGTTTGTCTGTTTACAATTTACTACAAACAAACACGTCTAACATGAAAAAACTAAAATTAAAAATGTACTTTTTTTTTTCATAAACATGAACTTATTACTACAGTTAAGAGTTGTTGAATGAATCATTAGTTTAACTTATCTTTAGTTTCTCAATCAGTTACCTACTCTTAATCTTTACATGTTTTCCAAACTATTTGAACTTTTGATATTCCCATATATATACATATCTGGTGATTTTTATATCTATCATCTAATCTACGAAGTCAAATAGGTCCAGAAGACTCTCAATATCAAATCCTAAAAAGTAACAATTTAATGCTCTAAATTCAAAAGTCTTATAAACTCAATTAATTTGGTATGATTCGTACACGCGATATGAAATTAGGAGAAAACAATAGTGTGTACTAGTTAATGATAAGCTTTTGTAAAAATTCTGGTAAGTAGTGTACAAAGTAGTAGAAGTTGACATTCCAAATTCGTCCAAACTAAAATTACGATCGTCGGAACTAGTTTCAGTGTTGCGTAACCGTTCTATCTCTCTAGTAGCTCCTCCTCACATTGCCACACTGACACACACATATTTAACATATTTTACAACCGAACTCACTCAAAGTGAAAAAAAAACAACACAAATTATTATAAAAATAAATAACAAAATACGTCATCATTTCTACTTATAAATATCCGAAATTATTACACTCAAGTTCTGAATTATAAACATTTCCTAAAAAATATTTAAAGAAAAAAAAAACAAAGTACAGTGAACATTACTCACAGTAGTGAAGAAGCAGCCACCTGAAAAGAAAAAATATATATAAAAGTTGAAAAAAAAACACACAAAAAAAGAGAGAAATTGTAAAAAATAAAGAGAGAGAAAGACCCCACAGAGCACTCATCTTCAACCCTAACTCCGATTTCTCTCTCTCTCTCTCACACATCTCCAAATCTCTCTTCTCTTTCTCTCTCTCTCATGAAAAGCGTCGGAGAATGGGGAAATACATAAAAAAGAGCAAAATCGACGGTGGTGGAGGAAGTGAACCCTCTATAGCTTTGATGGATGTTGTTTCACCTTCTTCTTCACTCGGTGTTTTAACCCGAGCTAAATCTCTAGCTCTCCAACAACAACAACGCCGTCTTCTTCAAAACCCCTCTTCCTCTTCTTCTTCTTCTCCACCGACGACGTCGAAACAGAAGAAGAATCAAAGCCAGAAGCAGCAGCAGATGAACGATTGTACTGGTGGCTCCTCGTATCTTCAGCTACGGAGTCGTCGGCTTCAGAAGAAACCTCCAATTGTTGTGCTTCGTTCTACTAAACGGAGGAAACCGCAACAAAGGAAAGAGACATGCGGCAGAAACCCTAATCCCCAAATTCTGGATTCGATTTGTGGTGATGGGTCTAGGTCTGATTCCGTTTCTGAGACTCTTGTCTTTGGGAAAGATACAGATTTGGTTTCTCAAATCAACAAAGATCCTTCCTTTGCCGAAAATTTCCAACATTCTACTCAAAGGTTTCATTTTTTTTATTTTTTTTGTATGTATCTGTTTGAATCTTTGTTCTGTTTTTTTTTTTTTTTTGAGAAAGTTTTGATATTTTTTGGATTTGAAATTTTTCCGTTGGTATTTTGGTAAAAAAGTTAACGATTTTTTATCATTTGTATTTTGTTAAAATTGAAACTGGCGTTTTCGATTATTATGATTTTTGCCGATTTGAAAATGATAATTATTATTTTTTCTTACCATCTGTATGATATGATGCCATCTTTTCTTTTATCTGACAACACCAGACTCTTCTCTCTGTTTCTGGGAAAGATATATATATATATATATATATATATATATATATTAATCAAAATGTGTTTCTTTTCTTGATAAAGTTTTTTCTTTTCTTCAATTACTCAGAAGAAGAAGGTGATAGTGACTATTGTTTTTTCTTCAAGGCTTTTTTTGATCTGCTTTCATGTAAAGAATGTTGGATTTGTGTATGATATGTCTCTGTAACTCTTTAAAAGCTTTTGAATACCTTGGTTTGAATTTTTGGGATTGTGCAAAGTATATGTATTTCTTCTGTGAAAATGCATCTTGACTTCTTTTTAGGAATGATTGGTTTCTCTGTCTGTTAGGTTTTGTTGCTGTTTGGTAGTTTTTGATGTTAAGATCGATCTACAGTTTGAGATCTTGTTGAATATTATGTGAACCATCAACTTTTTCAAGCATTGCTGTCATTTGGAAGTTTCTTTTTGGTTTATGCTTTGTGATCTTTGAACCACATATCATCGATAAGAAGTTTCTCCTTGTCTTTTATCAGTTAAACATGACTGAATCAGCTTTACTTAACTATAGGCAATAAAGTTTGCTTGCTTTTGCTACTAATTGAGGAAACACAGTTATGTGCTTTTATCCTTGAGATCATTGTATGAAAGTAACATATTACTCACTCTCTGCTTCAACAGGACCACAAGGGAATCCACACCATGCAGTTTGATAAGAAAGCCTGAAATCATCACAACCCCAGGATCGTCTACAAAGCTTAACATTTGTATAAGTGAAAGCAACCAGAGAGAAGACAGTTTGTCACGCAGCCATCTTCACCTACCAACTACACCTGAAATGGACGAGTTTTTCTCGGGTGCTGAAGAAGAACAACAAAAGCAATTCATTGAGAAGTATGATGAGTTTCATCACTTGATCTGTTCTGTTCTGCAGTAACTAACCTTTTTGGTTATGAGTTTCCAGTTTGATCTGTTCTGTTCTGCAGCAAGTAAACTCTTTTGGTTTTTTTGTGTCTCTAATAGTTTCTGTCAACTCTTTTTCAGGTACAACTTTGATCCTGTGAACGAACAACCACTACCAGGACGGTTTGAATGGACGAAGGTAGATGATTAGAAACAAGAAACAATGGGGGGTTAATAGTTAATACAGAATATATTAACATTTTCCTGCTAATTATCGGTTTGATCTTATTTCCATCATCCGTTTCTTAACTTTTTCAACATGTAAAGAGCTTAGGAGAACAACCCATGTAGTGTTTTTAAATTGGTGTCTGTAATATAAGTGGCTGAAAAGGGTTTGTGTAGCACACAACTGATACCAATCCTTTTTAAGCCCTAACAGACCACCTTAGTAGTAGTAGTAGTAGTACTAAAACCATAAGAGAAGGTATTAGAAGTAACCTAAAGTCTGTTTAGGGTTTAGCGTTTAGGGATTACTAGAGTTCTTTCTGTTTAATGGTCAGTGTTTTCTTTTAGAAATCCGGTACAGGGGTGGGACTCTGCATTCTCTTATAACTCTTTGTCCTGTAACCATTTTAAAATCTATCCTTTTATGTGTATACATGTACTGATCTCAAACTCTTTCAATAAAGACTTATCCTTCTCTGTCTTTTGTTCTCTTACTTCATCTTAAGTTCTTGTTCTTATCATCATCATCATGATGGTCCATGTGTTGTGTTCTTCAGACATATAACATCACAGTGACAGGTAGGTAATACGTATCTATATATACACAAATGTATACTGATAATAGAGAGACAGGTTAAGCTGTTCGTTATGGATATGGATAGTGTCTCATAGTGGTCTTTGTTTTGTCTCTGTCTTCTCACTAAAACCAAAAGTGTTAGAAAAAGATTCTCTTTCTCTTTCTCTTGTGTGTGATTGTTGGGTGTGTCCATTGTACTTTCCACTTTGTGATTTGCGCCCACTATATTATCTTAAATTTGTAATTCGTGCCCACTACATATCATCATCATCATCATTAGCATGGTGATCGTCTTTTGATCAATCATCGAGACTTCGTCGCTTCTTTGCTTGTCACAAGATTCGTTTGTTGATTTGTATTGATTTGATTCTACACACGACAACGTTTTGAAACAGGCCATAGTTGTCAACTTGCCACAGAATCCAATCCAGTGTTGCTGAAATGAAATTTATTGCTCTCGAAGTTACAAGTATCGAACTTTGTGTCTGTGGTTGCTGACTTGCGGCCAAAGCGGTGAAGAGGTACAAAAGAAGGGTCCCACAGTTGCAGAAGAGGTTTTGGACTCTTCGTGTTGGGATATGGTTTTAGTGAGAGCTCAAGTCACTAACTGCCACACACTCTATCAACTAACTGCCAAAATACAAACGTCTCTTTCTCTTTGGAATTCGTAATTTGTTGTCTTTGTTTCTCCTTCTTTGCAATGTTAATCAAGCGTTCTCTCAAGTACTCCAGTTATTACTACTACGCTCATGGCCTTGTTTAGATAGTTTCTTGGTTTCTTTTCCTCTCTAAAGATTCATTCATTGTTACAAGGGAAGAAAAGCTTGTATGTTCTCAAAACAGCTCATTAGTCGTAACTTGGGTTTCATTATAGATGAGATGTCATTAGTTGCATAAGGCAAAACCACCAACAAGACTGTTGTTCATATGCAGGTAAGAAATAGTCCAAAACACATTCAAGCAACAAAATATGGGAGCAGAGACAAGAACAAAGGGAGAGGCTTTCAGATTTGTCTTTTCAAAAGACTTAAATCTTTCTCTCTAAATATAAGATATATGGTAGTAGTAATGCTCAGGAAAAAAACGAAGAAGGAGCCTACCCTGATTTGGTGTATATGCGAATCCCGACTGCTAAACCGAGAATGGCAAGGGGTACGAGGAACTGGAGGATCTTGATAATGAACTCAGAGGTCTTGTCTTGATTGTAGTGAGGCTGTTTGGGAGGTGTGTATTTGACTTTCTTTGGGATTGTTGTCTGATCAATCTCTCCTACGTAGTACTGCTCCATCATTTCTCTTGCGCTCTCGCTGTGGCCAACGTCCTCAAAATCATCCGTTGCATCCTTACCTGAGAAGAGAAGAAGGATCAAAACGTATGGATCGATCTGCACTAAGTGAATTTGGCGTTTAAGCGTCAAAGCCGGGAGAGCAGGGTGATATGTGTTTATACAGACCTGTTGAAGACAAGAGAACGTCATCCCCACCTGGATGGTCTTCAAGGAACTTGGTCACATTGTACACCTGCATTTTTGCAAATGTTTGAAGTTAGAAAAGGAAAATGAAACCCAATTATAAAACTTCTCAACTTCCAAAGATTTCTTGTTGAAACATTGGAAGATCTACCTCTTAGTCTACCTCTTAGACTAAAACAAGAAATGGTGATGGCGATGTGTTAGTGTGTAATATAACTCGAATAAGCAAACAATAGGAATAAAAAGAAGGATACTTGAAACAATGTACTCTACCAGAAACCATGTCTAGAGATAGATTTGGGGCATTCTTAACATAATAAAGGATTTGTTCAATGTACATAGCACACTTGTTGCGTGAGATAAACTCCGTAAACCTCTGACCTGAGTGGTAAAATGAAAAGAAACAGAAGCTACTCATGGAACAAACACACCAAAACTTTGAAAGTACTTTCTTATATTCTTCTACTGATCTCACAAACCAATTAATAAAGAAAACAGGATACACGTTTTCACTATGAAGGGAGGCTCAAGGTCTCCTTAACAAGTTAAATCACAAACCAAAATGATCGGTCTTTAGTGGAAACTAGTGAACGACACGTGTCAGCAATCCATCCAAAGAGAGGTCGATGTAGAAGAAATCAGACATATTTGTTGTGGTATAACTCAAAAAGGCAAGCAGAGCTATGTCTAGTTGTCTACATTTCTCCATCTTCAATTCAAAATAACAAAACTTTCAACTGATAAATAGGTCACACGAGCTAAATCTTTAGCATATTATATATATGTATTAACTACAACTTATTCCACTCTACCCATCTAAAAACATATCATTCGGACAGAGAAATCTGAAACTTCAAAAGCTTTTAATATCATGCAAACACAAAAAGGGGGGATTTTTCCAGAGCACGAGATCTCTAATTCCAGAGGTGAGAGAGATAAGGAGAAAGAAGAAAAGAACCTTTCCATTGATGACAAGCCAACAGTCATGAGCTTGATTATGCTCTGAAACTTCTGAAAGTGTGAAGATCTTTGCTTTGTCTCCCATTGTTTTGTTTGATTCTTGTCTAAATTAACCCACCACTGAGACACTGAGATTTAAAGCTAAAAACTTTAGACAAGAACGCGAGAGAGAGACAGAGAGAGAGAGTTGTTGAGTTAAGACCAATTTGACGAATCAGTTGGAATTCCGGTCTTGTTTGGTTTTGTTCACAAAGGAATTGGATTATGAGTTTCGGTTGGTATGAATACCGGTTTAGTGAAATAGAATTTGTGAATTTATTGATCCACATGACATAAATCCCTCAGCTCAATTCTGGTATTTCATCAGACCGATTTTAGAACCGATGTGTTCAATGGTTTGGTATAGTTTGCTAAATCCGGTCGGGTGGGTGGGTGGAGTAGGTGGGCAGTGCAAATGTTGCGGTTGTGGCTCTAATTCTTGCCTTTTCTTCATTCAAGATTGGTAGGTGAATGATGTGCAATAAATAATTTTATTTATGCTCTATGAATTATTTTCTCAAAATATTTACTAATTTTTTTAGATACAACAACAGAAGAAAAATAAATTGGTGCTGCTTCATACCAATTTACCATATCCCTACTTATTATGGACGTTCTTTTTTTACTATGTTCTCTAAGGCTTATATAAAATGTATAAAATTGTATGACTTTGATTGGTTGGTAATAGAAACTATTTTTTACTTAGGCCTAACACTTACATAGTTACATGGCACATTGTTTTTGTGGTGAGAAGTTTCACACATCTAAATAATAGTGGAAATTTTTTTATTTTTTTATTCCTTCTTCTAGTCAAAGCCTAATATTTATATTTAGTCAAGAATCAAGAATGTTGTCAAATGCATTAAAATGATAATCCGTGGCTTATTCGTAATCAAGTTTTTAAAATAATCATAAACTTAGTTTATACTAATCACGAGGATTAAGTAAAAAGCTACTAAGCTAGGATCACTATTTTTCTTTTAAGAATCACATAGTTTAAAAGGTAATAGTTATACTTTTAGAGTCACTAGATCGTATTTTCTTACTAAGAAATGGTTGTTTAGAAAATATTAATAAACTAGGATCTACCCCGTGGTACACCACGGGTACATAATTTAATATATTTATTTGGTTGGTCAGATTTTTGTAGTTGGTTTTTATAGTCTAATTTTATACATACGTGTTTATTTCATTTAATTTTACATAATTTTATGAATTTGTATTATAAGTATATTCATAGATATATGTTGTCAACTCGCGGTACATCGCGGAATAATTTTGCTGTAAAACAAATTATATTTTAACTTAACCCTTAAAAATATTTTATTATAGACAACCCGCAAGAAAAATAGAATCATATGTATGTAAACTCAAATCCATCCAATCATATTAATGTACAATATTATTATATTTTAAAAAATTTAGAGTTAAAATATTAATTATACTTTAAATTAAGTGTTATAACATTAGAGCATTAGTAAGAGTTTCTATAATATTTTAAACCTTTCTAAGAAATTAAAATTTATAATATTTTGAAACTTTTTAAAAAATTATTTTTCTTAAATATATAACCGGATTATATAGAATAAATTTTTTAATTTGGATGCCTAAGAAACCAAATTTCATGCTCATTTGTAGCTGGAAACATATTAGTCATATTTATAATGGTTTTGAAATCTTATATAAACATTTTCCCTTTATCAATTCAGTTATATACATCCGTTTTCTAAAATTTTAATTGCAAAATGTGTGAAAAAAAATTTGTATTTTTATTATAAATACCTTTTATGTAATAATATAAATTGAAAAATAAATAAGATTATATAAATATATTGGAGAGAGATTCAAGTTATTAGAGAGATATTTTAGGAAAATTTTTTGATGTAATAAATATTTGTTTCCAATTTTGAGATTTACTTGTGATTTAATTACAAAATTTACTTTAAGTTTTGTTATTTATTCAAATGGCAAGGGTTTGATTATGCAAATATTACAAAATAAAAGGTTATAACCCAAAATAGATTTTAATACAAAATGTACTTCAAAAATGTTAAGATAGATTTACACAATCAACTTTAATATTTAAGAAATTTGGAATAATAGATATAAAAGTGGCACAATTCTTTTTGTTTTGATTTTGGACCACCAATTTTTTATTGAATTAGATTGACAAGTTAATGGCTTAACTGCAACAAATAGCTAAAAAATGTAATTGAACAATTAGCATACTCTGGAAACTCCTAAACTTAAAATAATATGACTATGACCAATCAATTTTGCAAAAGCAATGGGATTTTTGTGAATCTAAAAAATATTTGAAATTCTTAACAAAATAACACAAAATTTGAGACTTAATTGTAAGGAAACTAATACATTCGGGTGGTTTCTAATATCCTGACTTGTTGGGTAAGTCTCTAAATATTCGTAGTTTGCATCCAAGTCCCTGAATACTTTCTTCTCCCAAATCTGCTGCTTTTATTTTTACTTTAGTCCCAGAAACTCAAAAACCCCTATTTTTCAAATCCAGTAGAAGAGATTCAAGACGGGTCTCATCGAAAGTTCGATTCTTTCGTCATCTGATTCGCTTTCTCTTAGGGTTTTCAGTTTCGATTTGGTGTACTTCATCAATGGCGACACCTATGGTTAGTTCAGCTGGAGGGTTACTGGCAATGCTCAACGAGCCTCATCCTGCTTTGAAGCTTCATGCCCTCTCTTACCTCAACAATTTGGTTGACCAATTCTGGCCTGAGATCTCCACTAGTGTTCCGATCATGTAATTCTCTTTTAAACCCTATTTTTCAGCTTTGAGATTTAGGGTTTTGTTTTCCAACTTTATCTGTTTTGATTTCTGGGAAATTCGGGGGGAGATTGTGGGATTTGAATTACTTGAGCTCTCGTTGTGCTTAGGTGGTCTTCTCGTTTTTTGTATTAAGGTTCGAATATCTTGGTGCGGCATGGATTGTGAGGCGATGTAAATTATTGGGTAGGATAAGAAAGGAAAGTGTTTTCTTTGATATGATTAACTTTAACAAGTTCTGTAGTGATCTTTGTAGATTATGAATGAGCAATTGATATCCGAGTTTAGCAAATAGTTGTTTATTCTGTCATAAAGGTCTAACTTCGTCCTGGACATGGTAATGTTTTACTGATGTAATTTAAAGGCTTGGATTCCTTTTCTTTCATCATCTTACTTGCTAATGATATAAAGTAAAGTTGTAGATGCTGTCCTGGTACAGTGCGTAGGTCTTATGACATATTACTTGCTAGGTCTCTTGATATTATTACTTGCTAGATCTCTTCAATGATTTGCACTGCGTGATAGCTTGACTCAATAGATAATTTTGTTGCAGTGAGAGCTTATATGAAGATGAAGAATTTGATCAGCATCAAAGACAGCTTGCTGCTTTGCTGGTTTCTAAGGTGCGATTAAGCAATTTTTAATCTTAAGTGATATCTGGTTTGCAGATAATGTGTGCTATATGTTAGTGGACGAATGTGTAATTGTTGGTCTGAACACATATGATTACTTTTTCCCTTTAGAGCTGGTGTATAGTGGTAGAAGTTTGGTGCGAGACATTTTCAAATCACGTTATCAGATTGTATTATAAGATATATTTTTCTTGATGATCCTGGTTTTATTATCGCAGGTTTTCTATTACTTGGGAGAGCTTAATGATTCATTGTCTTATGCCCTTGGAGCTGGGCCCTTATTCGATGTTTCAGAGGATTCTGATTATGTTCATACACTTCTAGGTGAGGATTAAGAAGTTTGTTGATGTTTTTACTCTCTTTATGCTGTTTCAGTCTGTCGACTCTAGCTAGGGTTACTGTTGAATGAAAATTGCTTATTTAATCCACTTAACTCAATGCAAGAAAAGCATATGTAGCTTGCATGACTTATTATCTTAAAAGTAGACTTGAAGCTTGCACATCCAGATATTATTTTCTCCCTAAGTAGTGTTATATTAGAAAAAGACAGGATAAAATGATTGATGACTATTTGAGTTTTAATAAATGCTGGATGAATGTATACTCATTGGATGCTTCTGTTATGTTTTCAGCCAAAGCGATAGATGAATATGCCAGTCTCAGATCAAAGGCAGTTGAGTCAAATGAGATGGTGGACACTGATCCCAGGCTAGAGGCGATTGTTGAAAGAATGCTTGGAAAGTATGGAATGCCTATATATTTAATGCTCCCTCTTAGTGATTCAGTTGTTCTTAGTTCTTACATGGTTTTCTGTCTGCAGATGCATCAGTGATGGAAAGTATCAACAAGCTATGGGCATTGCAATAGAATGCCGGAGATTGGATAAGTTGGAAGAAGCTATCACTAAAAGCGATAATGTTCAGGGAACTTTATCATATTGCATCAATGTTTCTCATTCCTTTGTTAACCGCAGAGAGTATAGACATGAGGTGAGACATATGTTATTAAACCTGGGTGAAATAGAAATTCGATCTTGTGATTTTATTGATTGTTTAGAACAGTATACTTTTGCCTCATCTGGAAGATATTGTGATTTATCTTTTATGTGCATCTTGCAGTGCCATGCTTCCAGTGCTAGCATCCTCTATTTCCTAGGCTTTAACTGAAAGTCCTGTTTCAGTTTTGTTGTGATACCTATATGAGATGGGTCAATCCCTGAATAATAGAAGTTCCTTTTTCTTGATAGTTTTGTCTAGGGTGTGTAGTTTAGTCTCCATTTGGAAAGGTGATGACATCCTTGTCTATTCTTTCAGGTGCTTAGTTTACTTGTCAAAGTCTACCAGAAGCTGCCTTCTCCCGATTATTTGAGCATTTGTCAATGCCTCATGTTTTTGGATGAACCGCAAGGTGTTGCAAGCATATTGGAGAAGCTTCTTCGCTCAGAGAGCAAGGATGATGCTTTACTGGCATTGCAAATTGCATTTGATCTTGTAGAGAACGAGTACCAGGCCTTTCTCTTGAGTGTAAGAGATCGCCTTCCAGCTCCCAAAACACGTCCTGTAGAAGCAACTCAGGCCGTTGAAACTACTCCTGCCCCAAATGAGAATCCTTCTGGGGATGTTCAGATGGCGGATGAAATTCCAGCTCAGACAATTGTGCACGAGACAGATCCAGTTGATGCTACATATGCTGAGAGGCTAACAAAG